ATTAAACATTGTTAAAGTACCTAATGCAATACCAGAATAAAATCTGAACATCAAAACACAATTTTACCAGCAGTCAGCTATGATATCCTGCATTCTTACATAGGTCTGCTTCTTTAAAAATGTTTTATACGACAGCATGGATTGTGTGACTTCATCAGATGGGAGATTCAGGGAAACATTCAGTTGTCTTCCTTTTACACATAAGCAAACCAAGGCCTAAAGCTGATCACTGACATGCTGGCACCACATGTTTAAAGTCTACTCTGACCAGTTCCTTATTATGAAGCATCATGTTCACCTTATTATACAGCACCCCTGTCCTCCAACACATAAAAGTTCTTGAATTAAAGTGTTTTCATTTCTGTTAAGGATTTTTATTTCTCCAACATGGAAATCAAAAAGAAAAATCAAGTCAAAATAAATATATCCAAGACTTTGGGATAAATTCATGTCTTATGAAGTTTTTGTTGCTGTTGTTGTTGTTCCTGAATAGCGAAAAAGAATCTCACAAAAATAGGAGACTCCAAATCCAGAAAACACTGATGGAGACAAAAATCTTTCAAAGGATTATTCCACAAAGTAAAGACAGATGCTCTACTAAACATTCAGGTAAAGGTCTAAGGAATTTACCTGAGTCGCCAGCTCCCAAACCCAAGAACAAACCTCCTTTGCTTATTTCAATTTCCAGCAGCCAGTGTTAATGTTCCTACACTCTGAGGTTATCACTCTCTATCCTATCCAACTTGAGATCCCTCGGGACACGATCTCCTGAGAAGGGTTCAATCTACAGTCCCCAAAATCGTTGGGTATCTCTGTTAATGAGTTTCAGAGAGGTTGACAAATCGTTTTATGTTAAACGTGGGACTATAATTTACTTGATCCAAAAACAGTAGGAACTGCAATTCTAAAATGAGAGCCCAGCGAAACTCAGCTGAGCCTCACCCCATAGCGCCACTCACCTGGATGAAGCCAGCCCGAGTTCCCAGCTGCACAGGCCCCTTCCAGGATGCTGGACTCAGTCCCCTAGAACCCGCCAGGCCAACCTCAACTCTGCCTGGTGAAGGCGCCTGCCGCCAGCCCAGGGAGTGGAAGGACCACCCGGTCCGGGCCGCCCCTGGGCGCCGCCTCCTTGAGCTGGGAACGCGGGCGGGCGGAAGCAGCTTCGCAAGACCGACAACTCTGCGGTGGACCTAGTGGAACGCAGCTTCTAGTCCGCTTAGGCTCGCCTCTTCCCTGGCTGGACCTTCAGGGTATGGCCATGGGAAACGACTCAAGTGCGTTCTGGACTAATATTCACAAAAGAGGTGCACAGGGCATGGCTCAGAGCAGGACGAATGAATCTAAAGCCCGAGAGAAAAGTACTAACAGCCTCAGGCAAGTTGAAGTTTTAATAAGGACTTCCGAAGATGTTTCAAAATTGTAAATTGGTACCCTGTTTTCAATACATTTATAAAGCAGCTAAGCAAAAAAATAAAAATAAAAAATAAAATAAAAAGCAGTTAAGCAACGTAAGTTCCATTCTTATACCCCCACTAACTAGTAAGAATGATATGCTTCAGGAGAGCAATTTTCCTATCTATCAAAATTATATGGCCAAAAAAAAGAAAAGAAAAACCTACATTTTAGGGTTTGTTGCAAGTTTCAAAATAAGAGAGAAAGCTTTTCAGTAAGCTTTTTTCTTCTGGTGGCTTTTAAAATTATTTGTCATTATTAGAAATATGGGAATAATTCTGTACAGTCAAGGGCTGCACACACAAAAACTGAGAATAAATGAAGGATGAAAGTACAAAATTAAGCCACCAAAAATTAAAACAAACCTGGGGAGGGGCAAAAAATCATCAAGGGCTTAGGGTCTCAACACTAAGAGCTGTTTTTTAGCAAGCACAATTAAATCCCCAACACCACAAAACAATCAGGGTCACAAACAATTAAAAGCTGACTTCGCACAAATAAGGGGACCAATTTGGAGGTACCTATGCAAATAGCATAAATATGAAGTTATGGAAAATGCAAAAGGGTTTAAACTAATACTGCTTATAGAAATGTTATCCATGCTGATTCATATAAAATCAGGAGAACCTCTTGCTCTTTGCACCAAGACCCCAGCAAAGTCTGGTGCAGTAGAGTCTGCAGGTTATCCACTCTGAGTGAAATCAGAACCACTACCCCACATAGTGCCCTGCTACATGAACACTACTCCCAAACCCTCATATATGCTTGGTATTCCTCATCTGAGGTGCGGTAGGTACTTTAGGCCTTTTGTGGCTGCAAAGGGTTGGAGGAAGAAAAATTAACCCTTATCAGCCACACCTGAACCTATGCCTGAAATTTTAAATATATAAAAGGATACTAAGGGATGAGCAGACTCTAAGGGATGAGGAAAAAGGCACAAAAATTTGACAAATCAAGCAAAATCAAAAACTTTAAAAAAGCAATCCGGATGACTATGACCAAGAAATTCTTTGATTTGTACTGAATTTGAGTAAAGCTAGCCCTGTGTGTGTAACTTACATAAATTACGAAGGCTTAAGATGTCAGATGCCAAATAGCAAAAACATCCATGCTCAATTAAAACAATGATTTCTTAAGCTAGATTCCAAGAATTAAAGAAGTACTAATGAAGCAGAATATTCACTAATTACTTAACATTTTGGGTGGGACAGCTCTGATATTCAAAATTGCTAAAAATATGAAAAGAGTAAAAATTCTAGCAGAACCTAAGAATAAACAAAGAAAAAATACTTAAAAGATATTATAGGATTAGTTCAGCAGTTCTGAAATCCCAAAAAAGTTCCAAAAAGAGAAAAATTAGGAAAAACTATTTAAGCACAAAGGCCTATTCATGATTATAAAATTGAAGAAAAATATTTATTGTGATCTTTCAAGGAAAATTAACTTTGAGCCTAGAAAGGCAAAAATACTGGAAAAGGCATGTTTCCTATGGGGGAAAAATTACAGGGTAAACAAATTATTGCTTAGAGTATGGTCCAAATTTAAAGATTTGACCCTGACCCTTATAATCATTCTCCCTATAGACACAGAGATTGTAAAATCAATAAAAAAAAATTATTCGTAAAGAAAAAATTAAGACTTTAATTGTAAAATCCAGTGAGCAATAGGTACATAGATACAATGTAAAAACTGGCTACTAAGTTTCAATTTTATAATCAACTTGTAGATATAAGAGAGACTATGGCTATAAAAAATGTAAATATAGAGTTACAGATGTGGTATAAAAAGAAAAGCTGGGAAGGAAAAGAGTGTCAAAATATACTTCTGAAGTGAGGTGAGTTTAAATTTTCACCTATCAAACATTAACAGATGTCTAAACAGGACAGATGGAAAAAAAAATGTACTTAGGACAAGAAGAAGCCAAGAATGGCTGATTGTGGGAGAGCAATTTGGAAAAGAAGAGGCAGAATAATACTTTTTTCCTGATGGTTTTGCCCTCTTTATTTTTTTTTTTTTAGTTGTAGATGGACACAATACCATTTATTCATTTTTATGTGGTGCTGAGGTTCAAACCCAATGCCTCACACATGCTAAGCAAGAACTCTACCACTAAGCTACAACCCCAATCCAAATATTGCTTTTTATTATAAACTTTTATCACATTTTATTTTCTAATCATAGATGTTACTTTGATAATTTTTAAAGAAAGCATTCAAAATTATCCCTAGAAATAAGTAACTGAACATAGGAACATTAACAGTTGGTATGTAATAATGATAGGATTATATATGATCTTCCTTCCACTTTTATGTCTGATTCAGCAATGCTACTTATGGTAATTTGACAAATCAAGCAAAATCAAAAACTTCTAAAAAAGCAAGCAGGATGGCTATGACCAAGAAGCTGTTTGACTAAATGAAACAATAATAATGGAAGAATGGTCTGTAAATGTTCTTTGTATACAATATAAATTAGAAAATTAAGACACAGTAAATGTTTCAAATAACAATGCAAACATGTTTATTTATTTAAGTCTTTCCCAGAAGTGAGATTACAGAGTGAAATATTTCCCAGATTTCTGTTCACTGAAATTCCCTTTGAGTTGTCTGTTCTTTGTGCATTCATCTATCAGTATTCCTAAATGTCCACATATAAAGAATTACACATTAATAACCAACTGTGATCATAGTAATGTTGTTTACTTTTCACTCTTTCTCTATAGGCAATTAATCCCTTTTAATCAAATCTGTTAATTGTTATCTTTGTGATTTCAGTCCACAGAGCTTAACTTGAACCTTTTTCCCGATACAAAGGTTTTTAACTCTATTTTGTAGTCTGAATTTCTTGTAGTTCACATGAAATTTTTAATATGGCACAGGGTAGACATCTAACCAGTTATTCTACACTATCTGCCTGAATACACTTTCTTTTCCATATGTGATGCCTTATTATTAACTAAATTCCTATAACAAGATATACATTGGGAATGTCACTTTGGATTGTGTTTAGATTAATAACACTTAAATCTGATCATTCTGTCTCAATATTTACACCTCACTTGTTTTATATCTTAATGTTTAGGGTTCATTCATTTAACTTATTAAGAACTTATACTCTAGGCATATAAAGTTCAAAATATATAATGGTGAATGAAAAAGAGGGTTCTTTCACTCATTAATTATAAAAATGAATCAAAAATTATGACAAAAGTAAACAGTATTGTTTTTGTTAACTGGGTTTGAGTTCTAAGACTGATTATCATTACATTTGTATATTAATGCATTTTATACATTAATTTGTATAAGCTTTTTTTTTTTTTTTTTGAGGGGGTCTCACTATGTTGCCTAGAATGGCTCGAACTCGTGATTCTCCTGCCTCAGCCTCCTTTAGTAGCTGGAATTACAGATGTGCACTACCATGCCCAACTCTTGTAAGGTTTTTTTGTTCACTGCACTGGTTTCACAGATGCAATAAAACAAAATTTCAAAATATAAAAGTTGAGAACTGTGGCATGTAACAAAGAAAAATTTAAAGTGCTATTGGAAAACTTAAGGGAAAATGTGTTTCTCCAAGGAAAGTCTGTATATTATAAAAACAAACATTTGTTATGCCACTGAGTATAGACTTCACATTGCAAACTAACCATTTGCATCACACAGCTGATCTAAAATCAAAATCACCCGGAAAGGCTTCAGTCTTCCACTTTTTGTTTCATGAAAATCATGTTATCACATTATAGTGACATGCTATTGCTTTAAAGGCTCAAGCAGAAATGAGACTCAATAATTTTTTTTTAAACAGAAGTGCATCATATTCTATTGCTTGTCTTGAAGGAGCAATACACACTATAGTAAGACTTAGCACTTAGACATAAAACATGTCTAAACCCCAAAGAATATATTAGAAATAAGCAAGACATTTAGAATGCTTTAATATTTCCAGTTAACACCATTTGTATCAGTAACTGCAATGCTGTAACTTTAAGCATTTCACACAACTGGTCAATAAGGATTTTTTTAAGGGTGGGAATGAGAACAGAAGGATAGGAAATACAAAAATGTCAGTTTCACACTTCTGTTAAAAATTTAAAAATCAAAACTATTTTCTTCTGTGCATCAAAACCATACCACAGAATTGAAGCATGTTTTTTAGTTTTAATCCCATGACTCATCATCTACTGGATTGGGAGCTTGTGAAGAAGATGAAAACCCTGCTGCATTCAGAGTGCTCTTGGCCTGGTAATTCTTTAAAAAAAGGAAAGAAATATTAAATTATGACAGTTTTAAAGTTATATTACCCAGACTGAGGGCAGGGACTCAAGATTTCCAGCTTATCTGCCCCAAATTAAAGAATTCATTCACTCTTTTTTTTTAAATATTAGTTTTTAGTTGCCAATCAATGTTGTTTTATTTATTTATATGTAGTGCTGAGAATCAAACCCATGCTAGGCAAGTGCTCTACCACTGAGCCACAACCCCAGCCCCATTCACTCTTATTGGACAAAAAGGTCTATATTTAACTGTTACAGAAGTCTGAACTACACAGAATAATTCAACCAGACAATTTTTTAAGTCACTAGGTTTTGGCAAGTGGAAAAACTTCCTGTGTTACACTTTAACAAATCAACAAATATTTAATTTGTATGTTCATATTTTTTGTATACAGGTAAGCCGCATAAAAACTGACCTATCAGAAAGGCATGCAGCCTCATGGCTCCAGCATTTTTTCTTAATAATGTACTCAAAATTCTGAAATTAAAGAATTCTGTAGAAAGTTCAGGAAATCCCAAATTACAATTTAAAATGTCAGCAAACTGTGGAATGGAGGAAATTAGAATTTTAACTGAGAAAGTTAATTCTTCACCTTTAAAACCCAAAATATGTATGTACATAAACTTTTAAAGAAACAAAGTTGCTGCCACTTAGGCATGAAAATAATGGTTTAGATCAATTACTGATTATATTCACTTAATAATAGCAAGCATATTTTCAAAGAGCAACTATAAGCCAATTTCTGAATTATTCCCTTTAACTAACCTTTCTAGTATCAACTGATGCAAATACATTTCCTCTTGTACTACCACTGAAGCCAGGAACATATGTACTAAAGGCAATTTCTTCCAACCATGCAGGTACATCCTGTTGAGCCTTTAAAAAAAATATTATATGCAACATAAAGTCTCAAAGATTGGTGAAGTCTACTTTTTTGTACATATGCATAAAATATCTCAAAAATAAAATAAGAACATTTTCCATTCAGTTTTATAATTTTAAAACTTACATCTGACAGTACTTTCACTAGAGGCTGTGCTAAATGATTATCTGACTCAGGATCAAAAAAAGAAATAGCTCTGCCAGTATTCCCACAACGCCCAGTGCGCCCAATTCGATGAACATATTCATCAATGGTAGAAGGAAGATCAAAATTGATAACATGTTGAACATTTTCAATATCAAGCCCTCTGGCAGCTACTGAAGTAGCAACAAGAACAGGGCACTTTCCACAGCGAAAATCTCCAAGAGCTTGCTCTCTCTCTCTCTGTTCCCGATCACTTGAAAGAAAAGGAAGCTTGTATTAGTACAGCTTTTAAGAAAATAAAATTCAACATATAATTTTTAAAAAATAATTAAAATGCCAGCATTTAATGTATTCTTCCTACATAGGAAGGTATTATACTAATTCCTTTCAATCCACCAATTTTATTTTCTCCTCACAATAATACCTTGAATTGGAACAATTATTCCATTTGCTGATGGGGGTAACAGCTAATACACAGGGCCAGAATACAAGCTCAAGTATGACAAAAGTCAAATCATACCTAGTAATAATCTCTATGCTTTCTAGTTCTGCTAAAAATTGATGCAACTACTTGGTTAGAATGCTTGCTCAATAAACTAAAAAATTAAACTATAATTTCAGATTTGTACATATTCAGTGATTAATACTTTAGATCTATTAGTAAAACATCAATAAGGTTGTGGTGATATGACTTTTTTTTTTTTTATGGTACTAGGGATTGATGGTACTAGGCCTCCCACATCCTCACCAAGTGCTTACCACTCAGTGAATTCTATCCCCAGCCCATGATATGACATTTTTAAGCACTCCAATTAAAACAAAAGAAAACCTGAAACCAGAAAGATTTAGCAAAGGAAAAATGTAGACATAAGACCAAGAGATCTTTAAATGAAATCTCTTGAGAAGTTCTCACTCCTCATGATGAGGAACCTAAGGCAGACCTTTTACCTGCTCATTCCCACCAGTTAGTTCCTAAGAAAACTAAGAATGGAGATGAAGAAGAATAATTTAGCCCTCTTGGGTATACCACACTTTCCTGTGCACCGAGGGGAAATAAATGGGGGATAACAGTGTATATCTTAAGACAATTCTGAATTCCAAACCTATTAATTCCAATTACGTCGTCTTAGTTTGAGTCTTGCATCACTTGACAATGGGGACATATTCCAAGAATGTGTCATTAGGCTATTTTGGCATTATACAAACATCATAAAGCGCACTTACACAAACTAAGATGACAACAATACCACAAGGCAATATAATCTTAAGGAACCACTGTCACACGTGCAGTCTGTCATAGACCAAACTATTGTTGTATGACCCATGCCTGCATATATACTAATTTGCTCAAACAGAAGTGCATCTCCTCCTAGGAAATCATATTACTCACCCATGAATACTTGTAGTTGATATTTTTTCTTGACAAAGAAAAGTTGCAATAAAATCTGCTTTCTTCTTGGTTTCAACAAAAACCATAGTTCTTTCATCACCTATAAAAATAACAAAATTATTAACATTCAAACTACAAAATTAAAAACAAGAAAAAAAGGTGCATGTTTGAACAGGAAACTTTTGTTTCATCAACCCAAAGTACCAGCACCCAGAGCCAGGTCTGGTACTTGAGAGGAGTCAAATGTTTCTTGAATGGATGAATGTCAAAAAGACAAGTTCTCCCAGTTTAGGGATTTAAAAAATTACCTTGCCTTTTCTCTTCCCAGGCCAACTCAGGAAATACAGATTTAGGGACTAATAACTTCCTGACAACTTCTAGTAGTTTCAAATTTGCCTCTGTCCATTTTCCCAAAATATCTCATATATTTAAAAAGTTAAATGACAGCCTTTCCCCAGATCTTAACTCATTAATAAATATTTACTTGTTAGCTTAAAGTATTTAACTGATAGAAATTCAAGTATGGGGCAGATTTTCCACATAGTCAATATCCCTATATGTTGAGAAGATGATAATTAATACCTTTAATGGAAGGAAGAATTTATTGTTGCTCATACCCTCTCCCTCTCATTTCCCCCATCAGCTCACTGCATTCACTCATTTATTCAACAGTTAGTGCCAATTAGATGCTTATCACTATTCTAAGTGTTAGTAATACAGAAATAAAGCTCCTGCTCTTACTAGGGGGAGGCAAAACATGTTAAATCTTGAAAAGAATCACCAGAATCAAGATGCAGAGATTACTTCAGATAGAGTTATTAGGTGATATCTGAGTAAAGACATAAAGATTGGTGAACTATGCAAATACCTGAGGAAAGAGCATTACATGGTAGAGGGGAGAACAGGTATAAAAGGCTCTGAAATAGTGTTCTCAGGCTCAAAACAAAACAAAAGAGACCCTCATATGGCCTGCCCATTCTAGGCAAAGGCAATGAGACAGAAGTATGCCTAGTATATGTAAGGAATACTAATGGACAAAACGTGGCTTAGGGTGCCCAAAGGAAACTAGGAGATAACTTCAAGAGAGGTAATGGAGGCCATCATACAAGGGCCTTGAAGGCCAATGAAAGAACATTTTTACTCTGAGAAAGGAAGCCGCTGGGTTTTGAGCAGAAGTAACACTTTTAACTGAGAAGTTAATGGGTTCTAGATATATTTTGACAGTAGAACCAACAGGATTTTGATAACAGATTAGATGTGTAATTAAAGAAATAAATCAAGATAAGGATGTTGATTCATAATGGGGTTGGGGTGTAAGGAGCATGGGAGGATTAGACAAACTCTAGATAGGGCAAAGAGGTGGGAGTGGAAGGGGGGACTCAGGGGTAGGAAAGATAGTGGAATGAGATGCACATCATTATCCTAAGTACGTGTATGAAGACACAAATGGTATGACTCTACTTTGTATACAACTAGAGATATGAAAATTTGTGCTCTACACATGTAATATGAATTGTAATGTATTCTGCTGTCACATAACAAATTAGAATAAAAAATAATAATTTAAAAAATAGAAAAAAAAAGATAAATCAAGGATGATTCCAAGAATTTGTGCCTGAACAACTGGAAGAATGGAACTAACATTTAAGTGATGTGACAAGAGTGCAAGTTATTTAAAAAAAAAAAAAAAAAGGTTTGGAGGCTAATACTCAGATACCTATTAAACAACCAAGCAGACAAATGAAAAAGGCAACTTGTTCCCACAGTAGTAAGTTAAATCTTTGAGACACAGTTATTTTATATTTGTTTAACATTTTTATGTTTTATCAAAAATTATCTTTCAATAGTTTTGGAGGTCATCCCACAAGATGCTTAGTGCCAAACCAATTCACATGACAGAGCCAGGTACATATAGCACTGGTATGCACCCTAATACCTGGTTATCACCTTTCTTGCTTCCCACTGTCAATCTCAAATGGCAATAAATAAAATAAATAAAACTCTGATGACTCCATTTCTCTAGTTTTTTCCTCTCTACTAATTTTGTATTTGTTCTAGTTTAGACAATAAGCTATTTTCCATTAGTGGCAGCAATGATTACATAGTTTTATGAGACCATCTGGTGATCTCTAACTATTTTCTGTGAGGTGAAAAATACAGAAGACCCATTTTGTAAGTCTACTTCTTTAGTTGTCTATTGTGAGGTATAGCAATTAAAAATCTAAAAATTATTCTCACTTTGGCAAGCTAGATTATAATTTTTTTGTATTTCTATGTTAATTCTTGACATATGACTGAAGTAGTAAAACTAAAGCTATAAGTACTTTATGTATTTGTAATTCAAAAGGGCTTTATATCACTTTGAAATCATCTCAATATCCTATAATAGTATTAATAACTTAAGTAATAAATTATAAAGTCTCAAAGAAGCTCCATTTTGATTGGTTTATAGATATGAATGAAATAAAAAAAATGTTACCAGAAAATAAAGAATATTAATATTCCCAGAAAATAAAGAACTTGTAATACACTAATTGTATTAAACTTTTGAAAAAAAACTTATTATGGAAAATATTAGATATTTAAACACTATATATACATATACATACATACATACATACACACACACACACACTTTTTTGGAGGGGGGCAGTGCTTGGAATTGAACCCACGGCCTTAAGCATGATAGACAAGTGCTCTACCACCAAGCCATATCCCTAGTCCTAAATCAAAAAACATTAAAGAATACACGTTGACATAACCCTTTAATAAATAAGACTATTTTAATAACTTGGGTTTTAAAAAACACTATTTTTTTCCTCCTGTTAAACCATATTAAGTATCAAACAAACATCTTACTCTATTTGAATTTGATTTTCCTTTCATATACAGGTCTACCAGTCAAACTAAAATTACTCCTCCATAATGTTTAGAAATATAAACATGTAAGTTGGGTACAGTGGTGCCTCTAATACCAGCTACTCAGGAAGCTAACACAAAAGGATCACAGGTTTGAGGTCAGCCTGGGAAACTTAGAGAGACCTTGTCTCAAAATTTTTAAAAAGGCTGAGGTAGAACACCACTGGGTTTAATTTCCAGTATCATCCACCCCCCAAAAAGAAGCCTAAACATGTAAATTTGCATTCAATATTCAACAGTATTTACATTTTGAAAAACATCATTTTGAAGATGATTTTCAAAATTTTGAGGTAACTTAAGAGACATGCTTACATATGACATCTGATATCTCTCAATATTGCACCCTGTCCCCAGGGTAAAATAGATAATATTTTGGTTAAAAATATAAGTGGTCAGAGCTGTACTAGAAATAATAGTGACAGAAAAATATAAACTGTGTGCTTTTTTTTTTTTTTTACGGGGGGGAAAAAGTGTTTTTCCTAAGACTAGGGTTATGGGTTCAGCGGTAGAGCGCTTGCCTAGCACATGTGAAGCCCTGGGTTCGATCCTTAGCACCACATACAAATAAATAAATAAAATAAAGGTATTGTGTCCAACTACAACTAAAAAATATTTTTTAGAAGTGTTTTTCCTAAAGTGGTAACTATCAAACATTTTGGTCTATGTCTCCATGTTTAATGTTTAACTCATAAAACATTCTTGAGAATCCCAAAGAGTTTTTATTATATGAGTTACAATGCTTGGTATTTACCATATTAAAAATAAAATCCAAGGAAAAGTTTAAATATTTATTTGAACACACTGAATGTTAAATAATTTTTAGTATAACTATGAAAATTATTTTTATCTTGCAGACCCCTTTAAAGGATCTTAGGAAACCTAGGGAAGACTTGCTTTGTTCTAAAGTGTTACATTCTAGAATACTAAAAAGTACAATAAAAGAGAAAATTTGGAAACTGAATTTTATTTGTTTTGATTTATAATACTTGAGTCTAAAAAGAGCTATGAAATGATAAAAATTTAGCAAAATTCATTCAATTTGGATGGAATTACTTCTTTGATTTATTGTTTATCCCCTTATAATATGAAAGGTTATTCTTTACTTTCCTTGTAATCAGCCTAGACAGTAGAGATTGTTGACTTTATTATGTCTTTTGATTAAAGAGAGGAAAAGACCCCTACTTATGAAATAGTTCGGGTTCTTTACAACCATGTTGTTAACTTCTATGTATATTTCTAAATGCCTTATTGTCATTTCAATTAAACTGGTAGCCAAAAATTGTTTCTCAAACACCCATGGATCCTACACTAATTGAATGTTCAACTCTTCTCTGAAAACTCTTTTTTAAGAGCAGAATGTAAATTTATAAAAAATAAATCTACCTTTAAAATTTCTGAAAGCCCATGCAAAAGACTTATTATTTCACCTTATAAAAGAAGGAGTGCTTGAAATAATTATACATCTGATACATTACTATTGTATGAGTTGTGTGATAAGAGTTGCCAAATCAGAAGAGACACAAAGCTTCTCTAAAGAGTATAAGTAAAATGTTTATTTCAAAAGTATATACTTCACAGGAATTCCCTAGAAATTTGTAAATTCCCTCACTGTCCTTAATATGTTTTTAACCTTCAGAAGAAATCACTCATCAAAACTCTTAGCAAATAATTCTATGAAGTTTTCCTATATTTGTTAAGAGTCCTGATACAACAATACAGTAATGACATTCACAATTTCACTTATTATTCAAAATATTTATTTATCTACAAACTTCTTTCCTAATTTGAATTTATCATCTTCTAGGCCAATGTTCTCAACTAAGAATGTAGATTAGGCTTACACATGGAATTTTGAGAAAACAAATGTCTGAACCCTACAGTTAACTGAATCTATTCTGGTCATAAAAATTATGTCTAATCATTTTCATTAATGATTTTTTGCAGTATTGCACAATAAACTTGAGGCCTTGCACATGCTAGGCAGAGCTCTAGTACTCTACCACTGAGCCATCTTCCAGCCTGATTTACTTCTTTGAAAATACACTTAATCATCATCATCAGAGACATTTTGTCTAAGTTTTTAGAAAAGCTTTATTATCTTTATTTTGCATTTTATATAAAAAAACAAATTAATCATTTGCATTTTTTTTGTACTAGGGATTGAACCACCAGGGTTGCTTAGCCACTGAGCCATATCCCCAGCCCTTTTTTGTATTTTATTTAGAAACAGGGTCTCACCGACTTGCTTAAGACCTCACTAAGTTGCTGAGGCTGGCTTTGAACTCAAAATCCTCCTGCCTCAGCCTCTGGAGCCACTGGGATTACAGATATGTGTCACTGCACCAGGCTTTAGTTGCATTATTCTTATTAAGAACCCACAACAGAATTTCCATATTTAACAATTCTCAGCCACAAATTACCAGTCATTAAAAGTCTGTCGTCCATGGTTTTTGCTTTGTCTTGATGCTTGCCCAGAGATGGTGCTATAAGCTACAGATTAGACCCTGGATCTTAAAGGTCTCCAAGCCTTGTTAAAAAGGACTGTACCCTTCAAATTACTGATATTTTAAAGAATAGTGTCTTATGTAGAAGATTCTAAATTAACACTGCTTTGACAATTTTCAGGCCATATCACTGGACTAAATAAGGTTTCTAGCAGTAGTTCAGAAAAGGAATCATGAAAGTACATTTCTAACAGTCAATGGAACAGAATTACATAAGGACTGAATGAGTTTAATAAAGGAAATCTTACTGAAGTCATTTGTTTGAAATACTATTAATATTATTTTAATGTTTTGTTTTCTTGATAAATCCAGAAGTCTTTTTTTCTTAAGCTAGCTGTATCACACAGCAATTTAGTAGACTCAGCTTTTGTAAACTAAAATGAAACATTTTAAAACAGTATCTGATCTCACTTTTGATCAATACTCTACCCAACTCAAATTCATAAACTCTTACTAAGCTTCCTTACTTTTCAGTTTCCTCATCCCTAAAATGGGGATAATGACAAAACCTACCTCATAAAGTCATTCTGAAAATTAATGAGTTCACACATGTAAAACAATCAGAACATGGTTCACAGCTATAATTTTTACTTTTATGTGCTGTTATAGTTTGGATCTGGATTGACCCCCAAACCAATGCAGCATCAGAGATGGAGTTTTTGAGAAACTGGATCATGATGGCTCTGCTTTCATCAATGGATTAATCCACTGATGGGATTCATAACTAAACAGCTACTAAGACATAGCAGAAACTGAAGGAGGCTGGACTTATTTGAAAGGAGTGGACCTTGGGGACTATATCTTGTCCCTTGTTCCTTTTTCTCTCTGCTTCTTAGCTGCCATAAAATAAACAGTTTTGTTTCACCATGCCCTTCCACCATGATATTCTGCCTCACCATAGGCCCAGAAGCAAAGGAACCAGCTGACTACAGACTGAAACATCTGAAACTGTGAAGCAAAATAAATCTTCACTTCTTTAAATTGATTTCCTCTAGTTGTGACAGAAAGCTGACTAACACCCACACTTTTAGTATATACTATGAAACACTTCATGAATTCATTCACTCATACGCAAGTATTTGGTTTAGGAAGTTTTTTTTTCTTCTTTTTCTTTCTTTTCTTTTTTCTTTTTTTTAAAATAAAAGTCTCCTAGTCATCCGAAGACAAGTAGCCTTAAATGCTTTCAAAATGACCTTTCCTTTTTTTTTTCTTTATGCTCTTTATTAGAACTGATTTCAGGGACTGGAGTTGTAGCTCAGTGGTAGAGTGCTTGACTAGCACAGGTGAGGCACTAGGTTTGATCCTCAGCATCACATAAAAATAAAATAAATAAAGGTATTGTGTCCATCTACAAAAAAAAAAAACTGACTTCCTGCTTTCTCATCAATCCTACTCAAAATTAACTGAAAAGAGAAGAAAAGAAGATAAGTTATATAAATAAAAATATACTGACATGCAAACTGAAACAGCATTACCAAAATGGGGGATTGTGAATGGGGGTAAAAAGTACAGAACATAAGTAGACTGCCTTCTAGCCTGTGAGGTGGTAACACGAAGATACCAAAATGACCACATGGGAAATTATTTCCAGTCTCAAATCCTTCTCAAACCAAAAAACTACACTCTTTGAAACTGAAAATATTTTGGCAAGGGGGATAGAGAAAAATATTTCTCATAGGTATTGCAAAGGATAGAACTACATCTCAAGCCCCTTCACCTTTGAATTTCTTTGAATCTATGAATATTGGAGGCCCTAGGAAATGAGAACCAGAACCACAAAAACAGAGGAGTTTGTTTTTGATGGAGTAACAGAGTGACATAAGAATGTGTTACTATACTAGGCCATTCTAGTTTTCTAAGTCAAATATACATACTTTTTTCTTATGTAATAGTTTTTAGTAAAATACTATTCAACTAAATTTCGAATCCTTCCTATATTAAACCTCTAGAGAAAAAAGGACTATATTTTGATGTAATTTACACAGAAAACTGAATCATAAAATCTTTTACAAAAGAGTTTTAGAGGAAGAGGAAATATACTTACTAGAAGTTATGCCAAACATTATAATGATTTTTAAAAATTAGTCATTTTTTTAAAATTAATATCATAACAAAAAATATCAACGTAAGATACCTATGTTTCGTAGAATTTCGACAAGTTTTTCTCTTTTTGAGTACTGGCCAACTTGGAGAATGGTCTGCTGAACATCTCTACATGCTCCACCCACTTGTCCAACAGCAACAAACAAATAATTCGACTTTAAAAACTCCCCAGCCAACCTTGAAAGACAAAAGATTATTCCTTAGCTTACTTATATTCCTCCATTCATGCTCATATTTGCTGAAGTCCTGAAAGTCTTACTTCCATATTTACTAAATAGCAGATGATAACAGTGATAAGGTGGCTTTTTATGTCATCCAAGTACTATTTTCAAAGATCAGGACACAATGTTAAGATTTTGCAAAAATACATAATTACTAGCAAATAAGTTTGTATCAAATTATGGATACAATAATTTCCAATGGATTTGTAAGTAGTCCATATAAAACTACATAAAATGTGTACAGAAAAATTAAAAGTGAGAACTAAAACATACTTTAACAAGCAGAAATTTTATAATTGAAAACTGAAAATTAAAAATGTTAGATTAAGATAGGCTTCCCTTGTTATTTCTTATGTACATCATTGCTAGGAATTGTTTTCTGATAATATTACCTGTTAAACTACTCTGCTTCAAATAAATGAGTATGAGCAAACCAGATCACAGATCAGTGCTTTTTATGTTACTACACACACACACACACACACACACACACAGAGAAAATGATAAAATTTGTATTGCACAGTTGAGCAGGAAAAAAAAATATGATGAGGTAAGAGGCATAGGGGCTGGGCAGGACTAGACTGTGAGCCTGCTCCAAAGATTGAGCAGATCAATATCCTGACACACAGTAATTCACTATTAACAGAAAACTGAGGTCTGTTTTGAATCATCCATACATATGGCTGGTATAGGGGCACTGCCAATTAGAAAACTTGAGTTTTTAGAAATAAATGGGAAAGCCCAAGTTTATCTTCAGTTCTCTTCTCTTCTATATAGAAGTTCCTTACTTTCTAGATGTCTCCTAGAATGCCATGAATATAGCTCAAACTCAGCATATCCGGAATCTTAATAAACCATTGCCTCTTCTTTCTTCTTACCTGCTCTCTTACCACAAAAGCAAAACTTCTTTTTGATGTGCCTCCTTTAAGAGTCAAGCACCACTCTCATGCAGGCACAAAACCTTAAAAACCATTTGAAATTCTTTGTCCATAATTCTTTCATTTACTAAAACATTTACTGAGTGCCCTACAGCAGGTATACATAGTAGAAAGTATTAGGAACACACAGATGAATATAATGATGTTTGTCTCTGAGGTGCTTGCATCAAGTAGAATAAATGTATTAAAAATCATTATAATTCAACATTAGAATAGTTAACATTTACTGAACACTCAATTAATTTCAAGAAATGTATACAAAGTGTTTTTCACAAGATGTACTGGCAGGAAATGAATGAAGCAAGCACTATTTAGAAGACTCATTAAAAAGTCTTTGAAACTTGACCTAATGAAGCAGTAAGCAAGAATGTGGAACTGAGAAAGACCTAAATTAAGGTGGGAAATAAAAAGGAAACTAACAGACTTGAACAATTTTAGAGAACTATCAAGTGAATATTTTGAAGGACAGAGTTAAAAGAAGGTGAGGAGGAAATTACCATAATTTAAAGGATTAGGGCTTCAAAGGATCAAGATGCCATCAATCCCAATAAAGAAAACTGGAAAGATGGAGTTGAAGAAAAAAATAGGTTCAACTTTGAACATCAACACGAGTTAACTAGCAATTCATGTGAGAGAAAAATCACTTTCAAAGAGTTAAATCTTAAAGTCTGGAGCTCAGAATAGAGATCATGGATATTGGGAATAGCTCTTGAGAGTTACAGTTAGAAGTAGAAGCCAAGAGAATGGATACTACAAGGGTTCAGAGAATATTCAAATGAGAAAAAGATCTTAGGCAGAATAATGGGGAACCAGTAACATTTAAGAAAAGACAGTAAAGTAATGGAAGACTCAGAAAACAAAGAATATACTCAAAGTCAAGGAATCTTATGTTTATCAGGGATAATAATCAAATATGGCTCATAAAATATCAACAAGTAGTACACATTAGTCATTGTGGGTAGCCAATAACCTAATACTTTCCTATTTTACAGGAAATTTAAAAAGCAGCAGCAGGAATATTATCTGGTAATTAGGTAGACAACAATCTACTTAATATTATAAGCTGATGGTAGGAATCAGATACCCTATTTCAGATGTAAGATACAATTCCATCATTAAGAAATTATTTTATGTGTCACTAAGAAACAAAATCCTGCCAACTGACCCAGAGCTTTATGATTTAGATTTTTTAAGCTTTCTAATTTTACATGCAGATTTTTTTTATCATGTAATAAGTAAAACAAATAGTTAAGCATGACTATCCAAAGGCTTGTGGAGTATTTGATACACTAGCATGGGATCCCATATAACATTCTCTCAGATCAGATGGCCAACTTTACAGGAAAGAAGAAGCAGGCCTATAACATTAGGATCCACAGGTCATATTATATGCTGCACCACCTAGAAGCTGCCAGGCTGAGAAAACATTGAAATTATCTAGAAAGAACAGCTCACTGGTGATCTTGAAAGAATTTTTTTTTTTAAGAGAGGGCATCATCCAACAGGACACAGTAACCTCTGAACCAAAGATCTTCATGTGGCTTGAGTCTAGGAACCAAGTTATGCAAGCAAGATCTATCATCATTCCCACAATGATCCACGTAGGAAATCTGTGCTTTCCATCCTTCTTTCTTTTTTTTTTTTTCCTATCCTTCTTTCTAATCAAGGTTCTGCAGGAATACAGCTCTTGGTTCCCAAAGAGAATAGTTCCTAGAGAAAACAGCAAGGGTCCTCCTGCTTTTGCCTGGATACTTCAGGTTCCCTGTGCCAAGCAAGAGACGAACTCGTAGCTGGTAAGAAGAGTTGCCATCCTAGCAGGAATGTGTCACCCTAATCTCTGAAGTCATCAGACCACATGGTATATAGCATAATTCTCAAACACTATCAATAACTCATGTCTGAAATGTCCAAAGGCCCAATTCCATTTAGATTGAAAATAAAGTACAATAAGAATAACTTCATTTACTAAGAACTCATTAAATCCTATCTAGGTGCTATGCAGTAGCAGCAGCAACAATATCACACACACACACTCTCTCACACACACACCCTCCATACATTCAATAGAATATGATTCTAAAGCAAAATCAGGAATAAAGGTAAGTAACAATGAAAAAAATGTAGGAAACTTTCTAGGAATACATTTACTTTTTAAACTACCTGTGTAAAATCTTAAAGACAAATCTCTAAAAATGGTATTCACATTGCTTCTATTTCCATAGGATATCTGTGTATATACAAATTCTTTAAAGAATCTGTAAAGTAATGGAAGACTCAGAAAACAAAAAAAAAACTTACCTTTGAATTTCTTCTGGAAAAGTTGCACTAAATAAAAGGGTTTGACGTTGTTCCTTTGATGGCATTCCTGGGCAAGAAATTAACTTCTTCATTTCTGGTCCAAAACCCATATCCAACATGCGATCAGCTTCATCCAAAACTAAATACTTGACTTGTTTGAGGCCAATCTTTAAGGATATTTTCAAGGGTAAGAACAGAAAATTCATAGTAGTTTATATTAAACCAAAACATCTCTATCAATAAGAGGACTTTCTACAATTACTTGAAAGTTCTATTATCTGTATTAACATGTTAGCCACTAGCTATATATAGCTATTAAGCAACTGAAACATGACTATTGTGACTGCAAGACTGAATTTTAATCATTTAAAAATGCAAATAGTCAAATGTGGCTTAATGATTACTTGTACTGGACAGCACAGATGTAGACCGAATTATCTAATAAAGACTCCTTAATGTAATAAAAGTCTAACACAACATATATAAATATCTTCTAACTACCAATCTTTTTCTAATCCCTTTAAAATCCTTAATAAATTCTCCCTTCTCTAATCACTCAGGAACAAGTTGGAAACTTCTCTTATCTTTGCATAACAAGAACAACATTTATTGGTATAAATAGAATATATCTGCAAAAATACAAGTACTACTATGAAGACAATGAGGATCTAAGGTGGATTTTCTCTGGATACCTTTATGAATCCAACAAAAGATGCTTTTATGCAGAAAGATAAGTTTTAAGTAACCCCTTTTGAGTAGAACTTAAAAAAATTAAGGTTCATTAAAGTGAATTTAAAGTGTTGATTGAGAGGCAATAATTTGGTATATGAATTCCTAAGTGAGTATATAGCCCTAAAACCTCTTCTTGAATTTTAGAAATAATCCTGGTTAATATGCACACATCCTTCAACAGGAAACAAAATGATTGAGGCCACAAAGGGTTTTTTCCCAGGAGAAAAACTATCTCATTAAACTATATATTAAACTAGATAAAACTGTTTCTTACATTTTTCTACCACTAAGGTTTATAAGATATGGATTCTGGAATCAGACCCATATTCTAACCCTAACTATCACTTATTACAGCTGAGGGATCTAAAATAAATTATCTAATTTTACTGAGTTTGTTTACCCAAGCATAAACTGAAAAATACCCTGTTAAGATTATTTTGAGAACTATATGAGATTACATTCAAAGAATCTAGTGGAGCTTAACATATAAACAGTGCTCTAGTAAATATATCTTCCATTTACTTTCCTTTCCCTAAAAAATGCTAGAAGTTTCACAACTTTGTTATCCTTCTAAGGCCTACCTTTTCTTTTTTAGTTATTAATTGACCTTTATTTTATTTATTTATATGTGTGTGTGTGTGTGTGTGTGTGTATGCACACGCTAAGAATTGAACCCAGTGCTCTACCACTGAGCCACAACCCCAGACCTCACCTACCTTTTCTTTACCTATGATATCCATCAGTCTTCCAGGAGTAGCACATAGTACATTACAGCCTTGTACAATTTGTCGAATTGAATGCCCCAACTGGGTTCCCCCATATATAACAACAGCTCTTACACAAGTGCTAGAGACAAGAAAACCAAATGTCACTTTCTAGTTATTTGAAAATTAGATGTTTGTTTCTAATAACATGTTAATCAACTTCCATGAATGATAAAAGAATATACTCAATGACCTTAAAATTTTTAAATTCTGCCCAGGAAGAAGTTGAAAATAAATGACAAACAGAAAAAAAAAATTGCAACTTATCTGACAAAGGGCTCATTAAAATAATGAAAAACACTATTACTCTGTTCCCTAAACATACTCTCACAAAAAAAAAAAAAAAACCTCAACAATCCAAAGACATTAACAAATGATTCATAAAACTACAGATAAGTTTGAAACATTTTCTAACAGTTCCAACATTATTTTGAAAAGGAAAATGAATGACTACTAACACAACATTTTCCCTTAGGTATGGTAATACCATGTTAGCCTAGGTACCAGCACTGATGGTAAATTAACACAACCTCTTACAATTTTAGTCTCTATTAAAGTTTGAAAATTTGTCCTTTGGCCCACTAAATCCGAATCTAGAAATTAACTGTACAGATATGTTCCCACAAATAGGTAGAGATGAATGTACAATGATATTCACTGCCACCATTATTTGTAGTATCAAAAGACTGAAAATTAAGTGTCTATAAAGACAAAGAAATAGTGCATTCTTTAAAAGGGCTATAGTTTTAGATTAAGAATTATCTCAAATATACATTGTGTTAAAGAAACAACTCAGATGGCAACAGTTTAATATGCTACTATTTATGGAGAGGAAGATCAAAGTACAAACACATGCACTGACTGTTTGGGCAGTAATTCATATGAAACTTATAAAAGTAACTGAACAAGACAAGTCAAAGAACCAGGGATTGAGAATATAGGAAAAAATTATCTTTTATTAAGTAAACTCTGCTATTTGCTTTGTTATTCATTATTGTGAGGACTAAATGAGTTAAACACATACAAAACACTTCTAAAAAATGCTAAGTAATCAATAACTTATTACCATTATCATTTTACATTTACTATAATTAAGCCAGTACTCTACTAAAGGACATTCAGATAGTTTTCATTCTTTTATCATACATGGTAATAAATATCCATATAAAATATACATTTTTACATACAAATATTATCCAAATTTACCGAGTTTATATTTTTTTAAAAATATTTATCTTCTTTTACTTAAGAGCCCTAAAGTAACAGAGTACTTGAAGATTAGAAAGAAACAAACACTAGTATAAGCAATCTACATCAACCTCCCCCCACTCCCCTCCTGTACTAGAGATTTAACCCAGGGGTGCCACTAAGCTACATCTCCAGTCCTTTGGGTTTTTATTTTGAGACAGGCTCTCACTAAGTTGCTTAGGGCCTCCTCAGTTGCCTAGACTGGCCCTCAACTTGTGATCCTCCTGTTTCATTCAGCCTCCCGAGCCATTAGAATTACAGGCATGCACCACACTGTATGCAGCTACATCAGCTTTTTCCAAAAGATTATCAAGTTTCAAATTAAAGTGATTTTAATGATCACTATTTTCTTTTCTCATTTAAAATAAAACTTATACAAAATAAAAGACTAATGATTTCTATATAGAAAGCTCTAAAAAAAAAAACTAAAGAAAAATGTTCTTTCCAATAGATAACCTGTACATAATGGATAATTCACAAAGAAAAAAAATATTAAACATTTTTAAAAATTTTTCAATCTGAGAATAATCAAATAAATGGAAAAAAATGAAGATACCTATAATAGTTTTAATACATACACAAATTCTTCAAAATTCCTTCCTGATCCCTTAAGTATGAGTAAGGTTGGCATCATGGGTGTGCAACCAATGTAGTCACAAAAGATCCCAAACTCAAAAGAGCCCTGTGCTTGGTTCCCAAATTCAAAAGAGCTCTGTGCTTGGTTTAATGTTCTGCTGTTATTATTTTGAAATGTGTAATAACTAGAGAACAAAATGGCATGCCCTTTCATTTGTATTGGTTCTGGTAAATTATATAACCAGTCCTGAGACTTGGTGTCATGCTCCTTATAATAGATGACAACATAATGACATGTGTGAGGCTCCTGAGACTGTTCCATGAAACCACTGCAGCCTCCTCCTTGTTCTCTTGTTAATCTCTCAATCCAGGAGAAGCCAGCTGCCATTCCTAAAGAAAATGAAGTAGCCTTATGGAAATAGTCCAGTCAAGTCTCTGGATTCCTGGCTGACACCCTGCCTGCAATCTCAAAAAAAGATTCCAAACCAGAAGCAGCAAAGCTCAATTCTTAACCCCTAAGAAGCTGTGACATAGTAAATGTTTATTGTTTTAAGAACTATATTTTGCCCGGCATGGTGGCACATGCCTGTAATCCCAGTAGCTGGGGAGGCTGAAGCAGGAGGATCACAAGTTCAAAGCCAGCCTCAGCAACGGTGAAGTGCTAAGCAACTCTGAAACCCTATGTCTAAATAAAATACCAAATAGGGCTGGGGATGTGGCTCAGTGGTCAAGTGCCTGAGTCCAATCTCCAATATGCCCCTAAAAAAACTATTTTTTTTAAAGTAACTTGTTAGGCAGCAATAGATAATACAATAATAAATATTGGCAAAGGGTATAGTGAAATTGGACTCTCATATACTTCTTAGAAGTGTACATTAGTGCAAGCTTTAAAGTAAGTTCACACTATATTGTATTAAAATAGATGTAAATCTATTTCACAGAGATACTTAAAACAGAAAAAATAGTTGGATATAGTGATACACGACTGTAGCCCCAGCTACTTGGGAGGCTAAGGCGCAAGTTCATAGAAAACATAGAAAGACTTCATCTCATTAAAAAAATTTTTTTTACTTAAAATAAAAAAACTTTATATAGCAAGATATTTGTCATGATTTTACTTAAAATAGCCCCAAGTTAAAAAGAAACTAAATGCTTCAAAATAATTAAAATGTATACATATGAAAATTTAAAAATCATTAAAAAATAGGTCTAATAATCCAAAAGTAGTTTTCCACATTATGGAATTATAAAAGAATAATTATTCACCAAGTTTATTTTTAAATATGCATTAAAAGCTACCATAATAGACCAATATTTTCACTATTTTCTTATTTCCTGCATCTATTACTAATTTTAAATAGTTATGTTTCTTTTAAAAAATAAGAATTTCATAAGTAAAATTATAAAAAATATACTTCAATCAAGTGATGCTAAAAATTGCATGAGAATGCTATTACTGAATTCCTTCCAACAGTGAGAAAAAATTCTAAGTAAAATTATTTTTTGAATGACATTGTGGATTATACTTACCCAAAAGAAAATTTTCTGGCTTCCAAATAAATCTGGTTGATCAATTCTCGAGTTGGTGCTACAATAATACACTCTGGTTCCTGCAGTTCTTTAAAACGACTGGCAGTTATTCCATCACGCATCATATGAGCCAAAATGGGCAAGAGAAAAGCTGCCTAGAAGTTAAATTGCCTAATTTATAAACTTATAGTGCATCACTTTTGTCCCTACAAAAAGCTATTCCTCATGCCCTTGTAGCCATTAAGATTATTCTTCCATCTTGCTGTTAAATTAGGGATGAGAAATGACAACAATGTCAACCAGTTAACATTTAGGTCTCTAGGCTCATATTATACAACATAAAATATTTGATAAAATTAATCATCACATCAAAATATTTTTCAATCTTTTAAGAAAATAAGCATACCCATATGTACACAGATCAACATTAATTTACTTATAAAGGGTATAATTTGATGCCAAATTCTTGCATTTAACAGTTATTCTAACAGTTATTACTCCTTTGGGGGAAGCAAAAAATTATCAGGAGGTCCACAGGCAGAGCAAAAATTTGAAAATTATCATTTGGATCACTACATACATTACCCTACTGAAAAGTTACACTGGACAAGAGAAATTTTGTGTTATAGTTTCTCATATAAGCAAATAAGACTAAAATCTACCTCCAAAGCCATGTTTAAGTCACTCATCAGTTGCTATGTTATACAATGCTTCTATATTCCCTTCCATTCTGATGTGGAGACTGATTAAGACTAAAATGGTATGAACCAGGACTCTATAATCCTGGAAATAATAGTCTCATCTCATGACACCCAATTTAACAAATAAACTTTCCAGAGTAATCCTAAAATCAACTGATCTCATCTTATTTCTTTTAGAAATGACCTGAGGTCATTTATACTGTGGACCAAGTACAATGCATATAGTTGTTTCTCATTCTTTTTTTTCTCTGTTTATTAGTGATTCTTTTTTTTTTATTGGTTGTTCAAAACATTACAAAGCTCTTGACATATCATATTTTATACTTTAGATTCAAGTGGGTTATGAACTCCCATTTTTACCCCGTATACAGAATGCAGAATCACATCGGTTACACATCCACATTTTTACTTAATGCCATATTAGTAACTGTTGTATTCTGCTACCTTTCCTATCCTCTACTATCTGCCCCCCTCCCCTCCCCTCCCATCTTCTCTCTCTATCCCATCTGCTGTAATTTAATTCTCTCCCTTGTTTTTTTTCTCTTTCCCCTCACAACCTCTTATATATAATTTTGTATAACAATGAGGGTCTTCTTCCATTTCCGTGCAATTTCCCTTTTCTCTCCCTTTCCCTCCCACCTCATGTCTCTGTTTAATGTTAATCTTTTCTTCTTGCTCTTCCTCCCTGCTCTGTTCTTAGTTGCTCTCATTATATCAAAGAAGACATTTGGCATTTGTTTTTTAGGGATTGGCTAGCTTCACTTAGCATAATCTGCTCTAATGCCATCCATTTCCCTGCAAATTCCATGATTTTGACATTTTTTAGTGCTGTGTAATACTCCATTGTGTATAAATGCCACATTTTTTTTTATCCATTCATCTAATGAAGGGCATCTGGGTTGGTTCCACAGTCTAGCAATTGTGAATTGTGCTGCTATGAACATCGATGTGGCAGTATCCCTGTAGTACGCTCTTTTAAGGTCTTCAGGGAATAGTCCGAGAAGGGCAATAGCTGGGTCAAATGGTGGTTCCATTCCCAGCTTTCCCAGGAATCTCCATACTGCTTTCCAAATTGGCCGCACCAATTTGCAGTCCCACCAGCAATGTACAAGAGTACCCCTTTCCCCACATCCTCGCCAGCACTTCTTGTTGTTTGACTTCATAATGGCTGCTAATCTTACTGGAGTGAGATGGTATCTTAGGGTGGTTTTGATTTGCATTTCTCTGACTGCTAGAGATGGTGAGCATTTAAAAACATGCAATGGAGGAAGGATAGCATCTTCAACAAATGGTGCTGGGAAAACTGGAAATCCATATGCAACAAAATGAAACTGAATCCCTTTCTCTCGCCATGCACAAAAGTTAACTCAAAATGGATCAAAGAGCTTGATATCAAATCAGAGACTCTGCATCTAATAGAAGAAAAAGTTGGCTCTGATCTACATATTGTGGGGTCGGGCTCCAAATTCCTTAATAGGACGCCCATAGCACAAGAGTTAATAACTAGAATCAACAAATGGGACTTACTCAAACTAAAAAGTTTTTTCTCAGCAAGAGAAATAATAAAAGAGGTAAATAAGGAGCCTACATCCTGGGAACAAATTTTCACTCCTCACACTTCAGATAGAGCCCTAATATCCAGAGTATACAAAGAACTCAAAAAATTAAACAATAACAAATAACCCAATCAACAAATGGGCCAAGGACCTGAACAGACACTTCTCAGAGGAGGACATACAATCAATCAACTAGTACATGAAAAAATGCTCACCATCTCATTCTTTATCTTTTGACTCCAAGATTATATCAGATATCACAAATTATTTTCTGTCTCTCACAATGCTTTATACCTCTGGTGCCTTCACCTTCAATCCTTTTGTTTTAGATACTGGTAAGCACCAGAATGAGTTGAACACACTTAGAAATAGATTAAGCACCCATGAAATGCAACACTACCTTAGAAATAATTCAAAACTCCTTTAGAAGTATATAAAACCAGAAATCAGAAATGAAAACATGAATATTTATGATAGTTCACTAAAATTACCTATAAAACTTCTATTGAACAAAAGAGATTCAAGCTGTTTCAGAAGAACCAAAGTTCAAAAAAAAAAAAAATAAAGTTTGGATAAAGGACAAAACACATTTGGGATAATGACTTACAGTCTTCCCAGACCCTGTCTGAGCACAAGCCATCAAATCTCGTCCTGCCAGTATAATAGGAATACTATATTTTTGCACAGGAGTTAGTTTAGTATAACCAGCTTTAGCAATGTTGTTATTCAATGTCTGACAAAGATTAGCTTCTTCAAAAGTCTAAAAAGAAAAAAGAAGCAATGAATTAATCCATATCATACATATGTCATTCATAAACATATTGAAGCAGTTTTCCATTTTTATTAATTCCACTTTTAATACTAAAGTTAACAATATGTCCCCACTCAAAAGTAAACATTCAGGACCTATTTATTATTACTGAATAGTATTAGAAGCTTTACCCCAAAACAGTGGTTCTAAAAATTTTTTCTGCTCCCTTAAAAACCTGTGTGATATGAAAAACTAATCAGTAACAAGGGCTCATTACTACAATTAATAGAACATAGAGGCGTCCCCAACTGTCTTTTTAAAAAAAAAACTCACTCCTCTAAGATAAACTTCTCTACACACTTAGTATGCAAAAATATTGAATCTCTAGAAAAAGTATCCTTTTTAGCAAATTTTTAAAAATTCCCATTCTGATATGGAAATTTTTAAAATTTCCATGTCACTCTGTTTTGACATAGCAATTAATTCTACTGAAGATGATAGACATGGTTCTAAATTTCCAAAGACATTAAAAACTAAAAGTGAATTTTTGTATTATCAATTTAATAAATATAACACATAATTCTAAATCAAAGTTTGCTACATAAGAATACAGAAACAATACACTTACCAGAATTGCTGGTGGTGCATCATGTCCAGACACTTCTACAAGAATTGTATCATATTTGTCAAAGTTTATGCCTGTCTGATAATGTGCAAAGATGGAATCCTCATCTTCTGGTGGAGGAGGGGGTATGTAGGTCACTTTTGGGCCTAGAAATTCAAATAAAACGCAATTTATATTATACAGACTAAAAGAAAAAAATTAAAGGAAACAGATAAAAATCAAGTTCAAAAACTGTAGAACTTCATACTGCTTATCACTAAAGTTTCCACTGTTAGAATTTTAAAAATTTGACTCTTTTAAACATTTTACATTTGTACAGATCACACAAATATCAATATACCTTGAATGTCACCACTTTCTCCTCCTTCAGCTTCTGACTTCCAAGAATCTTAAGGGATCAAATAAAAAGAGAGAGAAATACTTTTAAAAACTTGGAGATAAAAGAAATCTCACTATAAAATCAAATACTTTTTTTTAAAGAGAGAGAGAGAGAATTTTTTTAATATTTATTTTTTAGTTCTTGGCGGACACAACAGCTTTGTTTATATGTGGTGCTGAGGATCAAACACGGGCTGCATGCATGCCAGGCGAGTGCGCTACCGCTTGAGCCACATCACCCAGCCCTAAAATCAAATACTTTATCTAAAATAACACTTACTCTTTCCAGAGCCTGTTATTACTTCTTCATTTAAACCTTTGTAACCACCTGTTAAAGAAATTAATAGTGACAACTGGTCAAGATGGAAAGCTATGTGCATCTTTACTTTCAGTGCTTGTCCACAAAAAGGACAAATTCTGAAAATGAACAGGTATCTATAAAGCCCCTTCTCACAAATATCACTAGAGACAATTAAGAGAAATAAAATATTAAGCACATGCCTGTAATACCAGCAGCTCCGAAGGCTGAGGCAGGAGGATCACAAGTTCAAAGCCACCTCATCAAAAGCAAGGTGCTAAGCAACTCATAAGACCCTGTCTCTAAATAAAATACAAAATAGGGCTGGGGGATGTGGCTCAGTGGCCGAGTGCCCTTGAGTTCAATCCCCAGTAATAATAACAACAAAAAAGTGAAATAAAATATTGGGGTTCAGTAATAAAGCACATTATACATTTTATGTTTTCTTAGTATTCAAGATGCTGATTTTAGGGGCTGGGGTTGTACCTCAGTGGTAGAGTGCTTGCCTAGCATGTGTGAGGCACTGGGTTCATTCTCAATACTGCATATAAATAAAGTTCCAATGACAACTAAAAAATATATTTAAAAAAAGATCGTGATTTTATACAGATGAGACTATGCTACCTTGTGCTGTTTCTGGGTATGACTATAACAGTGTTTCTAGAATAAACTGGCATCTAAATAAGTGACACAGAGAAAGATTCTCCGTTCAGCCAAAGTGGTCAGGCACCATCCAATTTGCAGAGGGCCCAGAAAGAACAAAAAAGCAAAGGAAAGGCTAAATATGGCCACCCTTCTTCTACCCCTAGTTATCAGAAGTCTAGGTTCTCCAGCCTTTGGGCTCCAGGATTTGCATCAGAAGCCCCCCACCCAAATTCTGAGGCTTTTTGACTTGGACTGAGTCACATTATCAGCTTGGAGGTGGCCACTTCTCTATTTCCAATAATCACAAGAACCAATCCCCCTAATAAATTCTCATCCATACATCCATCTCTTGTTGGTTCTGTCTCTCTGAAGAACCCTAATTAATCAACATGTGCCAAAAACCAACCTTGTAAGCAAGACAGTTTCACAAATTGATGGATTTTAAAGAGCAGTCAGGCTTATTAATTCTTTTCTGTAAGTGACCTTCCTGATTTTTAGTTAACTACTCATCTACTGTGCCACTTTTAGGTATTATGACTGCATTAGATTCAAAAGCTAATCAGCTATGACTTAAAAAAAAAAAAAACAAACATATGAGCTCTCTATTTCCTTTTTCTTTATGTCCACAGTCTTGTGTAAGGTCTTTCCTTCACATAAGATGGGTATATTTGTGGAAGATCTCTTTCTACATTGAGGAATCCAAGAGGCTGGTAGAGGGGTCACTTTGCTCTCAGACTAATAATGACTACTGATAATCTTTCAATACATTAAACAAGTTTTATTGATTTATTAATCTGAAAACCATTTTTATTTTTATATGACATTTACATAACTATACCCTGAAAAAAAATCTTCAGCATAAGAAATTGTATACACCAACTCTACCCCTTAGACCAAATAAAATATTTATTCCATAAGAAAAGCATATTTTAATAATGATTTATATATATGAATATATCTGAATATTTAACATCTGCACAATACCCTATCTTATAGTTATATTTCAACAATTATTTATTGATGAATTTTGGGTGATTTTCTGTTTTTACTTAGTATAAATGAAGACTCAATGAATGTCCTTGTATGAGTATTTATAAACACATCTATAGTACTTAAGTCCTATATCAGGAATTGCTAAATCAGAAAGAAAATATCCAATACATATTAAGGAACTCTCCAGTACAGGCTTTGTAAATTTATACTCTTCACAGTGTACAGAAGTATTAATAGTTACTTTAAACCAAAACTTAAATTTAGATTACAAAAATTTTAACTTTTGTCAGGTAAACCAAATAAGAACCTACCTCGACCACTTCCACTGCCACTTTTGCTTTGGTAAGTGTCACCATTACCTGTAAGGCATCGTTTTGAAGAATTTTTAGAGAAAATACAGCTCCCACTCAAGCACATCCACTATATTGCTATTTCTGTTCAATACACTGTAACTACTTAGGGTTCCCCATCCCTTAACCCTCTTTTCTCTAGATTGAATTTAAACCTTACTTTCATATGAACATTTTCATCAATAATTCTTTTCATTTTTTTCTTCAAATCACACAAATTATTTTCCCCTAACTTAAAAACTTTTTTTTGAAACCAAGCCAAACATCAAGGTATAATTCACATTTCAAATTACAAGAAATAAATCTTTTAATAAAATGTAAAAGAAATAATTTACAGTGCACATATTTTATAGGGAAGGCAAAATGATTCATGTATTTTTGCCTAAAGATCTAAAACAGAGAAAATCAGGAACCAACCTAGTATAAATATGTATATTATATTTACTAATCATAGTGCTAAGGGCATATATGATTAGTATTGAGTAATATGTTTTATTTCTTACCTGCACTACTTAATGCTGGTCTTCTAGAACCAAAAAGGCTACCAGCCCTCTGTGTCCCCTCATCTTGGTCATATTCATTACCTTGATTTGGAGAAAATATAATTATATTACTTTTAAGAAGTTTTTAATCATTTAGTAAAGAGAAAAAGGGTCAAGTTATGGTATCAGAAATTAAAATATATGGGCTAAAATAGTTTAACAAGAATCAAAATGAGTATTTTTCAAAGTATTACAGAAAGAATTTCTCTATAAATTATATCCTTCAATTACAAATTACTGTTTTGAAAACATTTTATTTTAAACTTTTTTATAAAATAAGTTAGGGCCAATGCTATCTCAAAATATAAGCAAAAGATAAATCTCCTGCCAAAAGTAGCACTGTTAGTGCCCTCAGAAACTTCATACTGCATCATTTCACTGCTTATTCTCCAGCACAGCATCCCTACTCCCACCGTTGCCAAATCTAATCTTAACCAGCCCTGTACAGACCTTTTGCTTGTTTTTTGTTTTGTTTTTTAAAAAGTAGGACAATTTACTAATCTGCTTCACATTTATTAAATCATAATTGCAAATATTTGATGTTTTTAGCTTCCAAAACCACTAATCTATAATCTTCTATTAGGAGACACATGTATTCCAACAGTCATTTATGAAGAGAGCACCTTAGCTCAAGAAATTATGGCTGGAGGAATTTTAAAGTAAAAAGCCACATTGGTTGAAGCCACACATGTTGAAGTGTAGAGCCATACAGAAGGCCACCTACTGAAAAGGTAAGCCATATTACCAAGGCACTAAAAAACTTAACAAAATGCAATACTAAAAAACTAAGTCACATAAAACTTCTGAAAAAATTCATATATTCCAATTTAACCAATATGTAATTGTATCTAAAAATGATGTTATATGATATGGGTGATTAATTTATATAAGCCACTGTGCTAAAATATTTTCATTTAATCCTTATAACAACTTTATGTGATTTTTTAAAAAATCATTTCCTTCTTATAACAGATGAATCACACCATTTGCAATCCACTACTAACTTGGTCTTCCTAAACCAAATCCTCCACGGCAACCTCGGAAACTACCTCTTCCACCTCTTCTGGATGGCCCTGAAGCTTCCGAATAATTTCCATCTTGATAGCCTATAATATTAAAACACACACACACACACAAGAACAACACAAAACAATAATAACAAAGAAATCTTGGGGACATGATGACCAGATTTGTTTTGCATAATTCAATAGCATTAAGTAAATACTCTTTAAGACATTAATGGAAGAAAAAGAAAAAAAGAAAAGCCAGAATTGATCATAAATGTAAAAACTTTACTAATATAAATAGATATGGCTATGAAGAGAAAAACCCACTGCTGGCTTTGAGGAACAAAATTAAATATGAGTAAAAGAAAAACTTGTCACTTAAAACACTGAAAGTTGCCACAAATGAACCATTAACTGAACTTCTACAACCTACAAAAGGATTAGTTAATCATAGGCTTATATTTACTCCCAATAGACAGCAAATACCTTAATCAAAGTACAGACAAGTAGACACATATAAAATCTCAATTCCTGTTAAGCAATTCATTTTTTTTTAAAGAGAGAGAGAGAGTGAGAGAGAGAGAGAGAGAGAGAGAGAGAATTTTTTAATATTTATTTTTTAGCTCTCGGCGGACACAACATCTTTGTTTGTATGTGGTGCTGAGGATCGAACCCGGGCCGCACGCATGCCAGGCGAGCGCGCTACCGCTTGAGCCACATCCCCAGCCCTAAGCAATTCATTTTTAATTCAACTAAAAACCAACAGAACTAGTGAACAGTTCAAGTAAAATTTGATTCTACCTAAGGCAAAACCTGATCAATTCTAAACCAAAGTGTCAACTAGACAGGAAATAAAGAAATTGAAAATGTTTAGTTTATGCATTTGCAACTATTTACACCTAAAGAGGATGCTCAATAAAATAAGTCCTACACATGCTACTTATTGACAGCAGATTGTGCATGTTTTAATAGCCTATTTAAAAATGACAGAAATAATTAAAAGTAGATTCACAGTTCTGCATCACCCAAACCTTACACTCCTCAATCTGTCAACAGTGTATATCAAGTTGTTTTTATATTCTAAATTACTTATTTGTGCTATTATAGTTTTTAATTTTTTTTAAGTTGTAGATAAACACAATGCCTTTATTTTTATTTATTTATTTATTTTATGTGGTGCTGAGGATCAAACTCAATGCCTCACATGCGTGAGGCAAGTGCTCTACCACTGGGCCACAACCCCAGCCCTGTGCCATTATTATTATTATTATTATTTTAGTTGTAGATAGACACAATACATTTATTTATTTGTTTATTTTTATGCAGTGCTAGGGATTCAACCCAGTGCCTCACGCATGCCAGGCAAGACTCTACCAGTGAGCCACAACCTCAGCTCCCATTATCTTTTAAGAAAGCTTGTCAGGGTATATCTGAATTAAAAAAAAAAAAAGTTTATATTCTGGATTCTGTTTTTTAAGGTATAAGTTACTTTGTAAGAGTATAAAATATACATATAAAATTTTAAAATGTAATAAAATGAAAACCACTTAGGTTGAACAATTTATATTTTATCTTCCATATTTGTTAAGTACTTTCACATTTTCCATTTACAAGTTAGAAATTTCCTCAACTCTTTTGATTTGAATATTCATCTGTTTAATCTGTCCAACCCATGCACTGTTTTTTATTTTAATCACTACTCTTTTTTGTAAATACAAAATGAGTCCTTTTAAATCTACCTTCCCTGTCTTAGCCTGTGTAATGCCTCAGCATCTTTCATATATATATCTTAATACCCCCCATAGAGAAAAAACTCACACATTTAAAGAAATATGCTCTTTCCCTTCAGAGTTGAAGCCTATTCTGAGTTATATAATAAGACTAATAACTAGAGATGAAAACAACATGAGTATTACATAGAATCAATTCTGCACAGCCTTGTTTTCAGGGAAGGCAGAAACTCCCTGTATCCTATATAATCTTAAAAATTATCCTTGTTGAAATAAATAGGATGAAAGAAAGAATAAGATACAAAGTTAAAAATAAATGAACTAGGCAAGGTGAGATGGCCCACGCCTCCCATCAGCTTGGGAGGCTGAGGCAGGCAGATCACAAATTCAAAGCCAGCCTCAGCAAAGGTGAGATGCTAAACAACTCAGTGAGACCCTGTCTCTAAATAAAATATAAAATAGGGCTGTAGATGTGGCTCAGTGGCCAAGTGCCCCTGAGTTCAATCCCCTGTACCCCAAAAAATAAATGAACTACAGCCACACTTTCAACACAAAAATCTGAAAAATTATGAATAAAGATGTCATAAAACATAGGCGTATTTTTAACCTTCTATAAAAATACAGATAGGAAGTATATATAATATGTATCAAAATACATTATATCTGGGAAGATATCAACATAAAATGTAAAGTTAAACCATCCTTTAGGCTAACAATTTTAATTTTTAATGGCTTTGAAAAAAATATGACATAACATTTTTTAAATCTGGGTAGTAACATACAAAATGTTTGTAATAAAATATTCTTTACCGTTCTGCATCATTGAAATATTTTGAAATTAACCACTTTTAATGTCATTTTCATAAAATAACACCAACTGTTGGAGGAGCAGTGCTGCAGATCAAACCCAGAGCCTCCTACATGCCAGGTAGATAATCTATCATTGTTACACCCCCATAAGACCTTAACATATTTTTTAAAGTAACAGGAGTCCTTCTGGAGGTATACTCTTAAGTTGTTGATGGACCTTTATTTTATTTATTTGTATGTGGTACTGAGAATCAAACCCAGTGCTTCACACATGCTAGGCAAGCACTCTACCACTGAGCCACAACCCCAGCCCGTATTCTGCATTTTATAAGGGAGCACTGACAATCTCTTATAATTCCAGAAGATGTTTGGTAACAATCTTCAGAAAAAAAATGTCTGGTTAAAAGAAATATGAACATATTTAAGAAAAGTACTTACCATAAATTTATTTAATGAGGTCAATATATAAACCTGTGATATATAAAATTCAATTGTTTTTATACACTATCAAACAAATAAAATGGAAAAATGTGGTGTAATATGCACCACTACTAACATCAATGAACAAAGCAACTCCAGATTTTGACTACTCCAAAAAGGCAAGAAAAAAATGAACAAAAATTTTGGAATTTTTTCCAACTCTAATAATGAATCAAAGGTTTGCAACAATTCAGGGAACATTTAGGGGGGGAAAAAAGGAAATTTTGTAGCATTTTAACTTACCCTGGTCCCATTTCTTGGCAACTCCACCTCTAAGTTACATAACCAAAAGACTTAAAAACAGGGATTCAAATAGATGAATGTTCAATATTATTTTCTCAATGACCGAAAACAGAAAACAATGCAAGTGTCCATCAACAGATGAATGGATAAACAAAATATGGTAAAGATGTAAAATGGAATATTATTTCACCATAAAAAGGAATGTAACTCTGATACATGCAACAACCTGAATGAACATTGAAAATATGGAACTAAATGAAATACGTTATACACAACAGGACAAATAATGTATAATTCCACTTGTAAGAAATATCTAGAACAAGCAAATTTTATAAGAATGTAGAATAGAGGCTACCAGAGATTGGGTATGGGGAGTTAACTGCCTACCGGATACAGAGTTTCTCTTTGGGTGATGAAAGTGGTAATGGTTGCACACACTTGAATGTACTTAATGTCACAAACTGTATACTTTAAAATAGTTAAATGGCAAGATTCTATTATGGTTTCACAAAAACAACAACTAAAATTTTTCCAAATCTAATTATATCAATCTACATACCCAAGAAGCTCAACTCAAAGGAAGATAAACCAAAACAGATTGGCACCTAGACACATCTATATAAGAGAAACAAATGATGCTGAGAATACTGGATATCCACAGGCAAAATAATCACATCCAACTTCACACTATAAATGAAAATGAACTCAAAATGGATCAAAGATAAGAGTTACAACTACAAAATTTTGGAAAGAAACATAGGCAAAAACCTGACTCCTCAGATTAGGCAACAGTTTCTAGATGACACCTCAAAGCACAAGCAACAAAAGGGAAAGAAAAAAAAAAAGATAAGTTAGACTGCAAAGAATGTCAACTTCTGGGCTTCAGAAAATACAACAAGATGATGAAGACAACCCAAAAGGAGAGAAAATATCTGCAAACCATGTATCCGATGACACTCATATTGAGAATATGTACATAATCTCAGAACACCAAAAAAAATAAAATTACCCAATTGTTAAAATGATCTGAACAGGCATTTCTCCAAAGATTCACAAATGTCCAATAAACACACTGGAAAACTGTTCCACATTACAGTCACCATAAAAAGCAAATCATAACCACCACAATTAGTATTGGTAAGGGTGTGGAAAAACTGGAACCCTCATACATTGAGAGAGGGAATGTAAAATGATGCAACTGCTATGGAAAACAATTTGAATTGCTGGAACAATTGAATTTTTTCATTAAAAAGTTAAACACAAAAGTTACCATGTGTTCATATAAAAACTTGAACATAAATGTTTATAGCAATATTAGTCATGGAAGCAACCCAAATTTCTTCACTGAAGAATAAACAAAATGTGATATATCCATACAGGAATATTATTCAACCATTAAAAAGAATAAATATTATCATCTACTTCACCATGGATAAATCTTCAAAATATTATGCCAAGCAAACGTGTGTGCCAGACACACAAGACCACATACTGAATTATTTCATCTACATGAAATATCTAGAATCAGCAAATCCACAGGAAGTAGACTAGAAGATATGGGGAGAGGGGCAAATGGGATTAAGCGCTAACCTGTATAAGATTTCTTTTGGGGGAGAAAAAAATGTTCTGGAAATAGTGAAAATAGTTTCACAACAGAATGAATGTATTTAAAACCATTGAGGTGTACACTTTAAAATGGTGAATGTTAGGGGCTAGGGTTGTGGCTCAGCAGTAGAGTGCTTACCCAGCATGTGAGAGGCACTGGGTTCAATCCTCAGCACTACATAAAAATAAAAAAATATATTGTGTCCAGCTACAACTAAAAATATATATATAAATTTTTTAATTAAAAATGCTTAATGTTACATGAAGTGTTAGCTCAATAAAAATTATATGCATCACAAAATATCAAAAACTCAAGTACAGGAACATGTATGAGGACTCAGCAGTGAAAACTACAAAATATGGTTAGAAAACCTAAATAAATGGGTAAATTCACAGACTGAAAGACAGACAATAGCAAAAAAACTAATTCTCCTCAAATTAATCTACAGATTCAATGCAATCCCCCCAAAAAATGCCATTAAGTTTTTACTAAGGTTTGAATGGCTGCGTCCCTCCAAAATTCACATTCAAATCCTAATTCCCAAGGTGATGAGACAGAAGGTAGGGGACATTAGAGAAGTGATTAGGTCTTGAGGGCTCAGCCCTTATGAACAGGATTAATGTTCTTTAAAAAAAAAAAAAAGCCCCAAAGAGCCATTGTGTCCCTTTCATCATGCAAAGACATAGAGAATGAGAATGCACAATCTATGAACACAGGAAATGAGTCCTCACCAGGCATCAAATCTGCTGGTGCCTAGATCTTAGACTTCTCAGCCTACCAAACTGTGAGAAATAAATTTATGTCACTTATAAATTGCCCTATTTGAAATATTTTATTACAGTAGTCCAAACCAAGTTTTTTTTTCTAAAAATGAATAAGTTGATTATATCAAATGATATACCAATTCTACTTCTGAGTATATACCAAAAGTCATCAAAATACTAGAAATACTTTTTTAATAGCACAAAACTAGAAGTAATCCAAATATTCATCATTAGAATAGTTGAAACAGACAATACTATACAGCAATGATAATGATCTAAAATTGTAACCAATAATATCAGTGGATCTCACAAGATCAATGGATCTTAAGTGAAAGCCAGACACTAAACAGTATATACTGTATGATTCCCTTTATACTGAGTATAAAAACAGACAAAATTAATCTACACTGCTAAGAAGTCATAAAAGATGTAAACCGGGCTGGGGTTGTGGCTCAGAGGTAGAGTGCTTGCCTAGCATGTGAGAGGCTCTGGGTTTGATTCTCAGCACCACATATAAATTGACAACTAAATAAAAAGAATAAATTTAAAATTTTTTTAAATAATAAAGGTAAACCTTCAGGTGAGGTGTTGTAAGTGAAAATAAGCATGAAAGGGGACTTCTGTGTGTTAGTAATTTCCATTCCCTGACCTAGATGCTGGTGAACATTAGGTGTGATTTATTTACAAAAAAATTACTGCATTATATGCTTTTAATATGTGTACCTGTGTCATGCCATGCTTCACAATAACCATACATTTACTAAGGGATCACTATATGCTAACTTAATACCCTTCTCATATATGTCTACAGTGAATGGGAATCAGAAATACCCTGTAAAATGACTATGTCCCTGCTAATCACTCTACACTGGTCTTTAAGTCATAATCAAGCACACACATTTAAAAATGGTTTTTGACTGCCTCACTTAAATATGAATCATACTAATTTAGTTAAAATAAATGTAAGCTATTCACTGTTCTCTGTAAACAATCAGAAATTTTAAAATCTAGGCAGTATTTTTCATTAATGTCAAAAATTGCTTTCAAAAAAAAGAATTTCAAAAAGATGGGTCTGTTTTTTCCTTAAACTTCTGCTCCACCCTAAGCAACTCAGCAAGTCCTATCTCAAAATGAAAAATTTTAAAAAGGGCTAAGATTCAATTCAGAAAACAGCCTTCCCTCATTCTGAAATCCAGTGCTAACTTCACTAGGGAAAGTCTACCATTCAGCCAGCTAACCATGTAATGGGAAAAACAATATTCCCAAGTTGCAGCAAAACACTGATGCATCTAACTACTATGTTGTCCCAAACAGAGGGCCCTTTAATCATAGATCAACACATCTGTAGCAATTTTACAGTAACTTCACTATGGGTTTTATGGGTTTTGTTGTTCTTTTGTCAACATATCTCCATATATAACTGAAAATTAAGTATGATAATTGTTATACGATTTCATCTCAAATTCATTAAAAGTAGAATTAGTAGAGTAAGGTGGAATATTGCTATACTTGAACAAAAACTAATCTAAAATTTCTTCTCTCCTCCAAATATCCAGCGACTCTATTCAAAGACAAACACATCCCCTATTCCATCTTAACCATGATAGAAATTTCACAACATGCCTGTTCTGTAATTTATAACACATTCTTGAAATCTCAGGGGAAAAAATATCTAGTGATGTTAGAAAGTGGAAAAAGGGGCACCTACTGAATATTCTCTTAAGTATTATTAAATGCTCAAAACATATGCACCAAGGTATTTTTCTTAAAGGGTTTCACCACCAGAATTTTTCTTTTTCAACTTCTCTAAAAAATCAGTTTTATCAGTTTAGTATCCCTGTCTAAATTGTTCCAAAACACTGTCCTTACCGCCTCTCTTGGAAAACCCTCTGTTCCGTGTTTGATTATCTTCACAGTCATTAGCAGACTCTTGAATAAAAATTAAACATGTGAATAGCATCCAAATAATTTCCTTTAGAAACATAATATCTAAATAACACTGTCACAGATAAATTAGTATGAAAACAAAACATTTTCATAAAACATTTTAATTTCTTGAAATAATTTTTCTAATATTCTTTTTTTACTTGTAGATGGACACAATACCTTTATTTTATTTGTTTTTATTTTTATGTGGTGCCAGGGATCAAACCCAATGCCTCATGCATGCTAGGCAAGTGCTCTACCACTGAGCTACAACCCCGGCCCCTCTTGAAATAATTTTAACAATGGAAAGTTACATTTTAATTCTTGAAACATTTTAATAACGGAAAATGCCTAATGTTTCTAAATATTATTCATTAAGTATATAATTGAAAACCCACTATTTTCCAAGTATTATCCTACTAAAAACAAGCCCCAAAATAAAAATTTCATAACAGTTATCTAAACAGTTATCAAGTGACTCTCAAATGTGAACCACAGACCACTAGAAATACATGACTGTTTTATTTATGATCTTATTTTTCTCTCATTTACTGTTTTTAATAACTGAGAAACTGATGCTTTATTATATATATATGCCCACTTCTCATTCATCCTAACGAAATAATTTAAGGACATCCTGGCTTTTCTATTTATAACAACATTATTAAGTAACATTAAAACAGGATTTTTAGGGTCTGGGGTTGTGGCTCGGTGGTAGAACACTGGCCTAGCATGTGTGAGGCACTGGGTTGGATCCTCAGCACCACATAAAAATAAATAAAATAAATATCTATCAACAACTAAAAAAAAAAGAAGAAGAAAATTTTTTAAAAAGCGGGGGATGCATTTTAACAATGGAATGAGGCTCCCCTAGGAGTTACCTGGAGAATTAGTCAGACATAAATGCACAGGCCCCACTCCTAGAGTTTATTCCAAAAAAAGTAGAGTGACAATAAGATATGAGTTATTTTTCAAAATTTAAAAGTTCTATGTTACTTATATAACTTTAAGCTTTACTAAAGATTCCAACAAAGTCACTTTGAGAACTAGCTATGGTTTCAAGAGATCTTTGTAGCCAGGAACCTATAATCCCAGCGGCTCGGGAGGCTAAAGCAGGAGGATCCTGAGTTGAGCAAGCTGGTGAGGTCCAAAGTAACTCATTGAGACCCTGTCTCTAAATACAAAAAGGGCTGGGGATGTGGCTCAGTGGTTAAGCACCATTGGGTTTAATCCCTGATACCCCCCCAAAAAAGAAAGAAAAAGAGATCTTTGTACATGTAATTAATGTTTAATAACTGAAAACTTTAATAGCAATGATATAAAGTAACCAAACAGTTTGTAGGCTATCAGCAAAATTCCTGTGTAAAAGCACTATCTATTTAATGTTTTAATTTTACCAAAAATAATAACTGAGAGGTCTAGTTACAGGCTATTTGAGCTGTGGTAGACAAATGACAAGTGTTCCTAAAGAGTCATCTAACAAGACAACTTCTTGGAAAAGATTTAATGTAAGGGAGCTAAGCAGAAAATGAAGAATTTTAGAAGAAAGGTTGGCCCTAAAATAATGATGATAAATAACATTTGTTGCCTTAAAGAAAAAATGATACTGATTAATTTTTGACTACCCTGGAAAGTGAAACAGAATAATGACCTTCAGAGAAGTTGGATAAAGGATATATGAAAACTCTCCGTACTATTTTGGCAACTTTTTGTGAATCAAACTATTTCAAAATAAAGTTATTATATGGAAAGAAAAAAAAATCTCTATAGAGCTAGAAGATAAAGCAAAGAAAATGAGATAATGAATGCGAAATTAGTTATAATCTATCATATAATATAAAAACAATAACCCAATAGAACTTAATATATATATAGCGTTGTTCTAAATGTACCTATTTGTATTAATTAATTAAATTTTAATTTTAACATTTAATTTTTTAGGCAGGGTCTTGGCTATGGTATCTAGGCTAGCCTTGAACTCCTGGGCTCAAACAATCCTCCTGCCACTACATCTGTTGTTTTGTATTAATTTTTCTTTTTCCCAGAGCTGAGGATCAAACCCAGGATCTCACACATGCTAAGCAAGCACTGTACCACTGAGCTAAATCCTAGCACTGTATCAATGTTTTAAATTCTCACAAAAACCTTATGAAGTATAATTCTAAAGAAAATGAAATTTTAAAAAAGGTTCATTGCTTTTTCCAAGGTAATACAACTGTCAGGAGATGGATCTGGGTCTCATATCTAGGGTTTCCAACTCTAAAACCTGAACTCCTTATCACTACATTATACCAGCCCAGGAAAACTAGACAACAGGGGGAAAAAACAGCCAAAAAAACACTATGTATATACAAGTAAAAACTTCTACCATGATCTCCTCCTGAGTTTGTCAAAACTTTTAGAAACAAAAGAATATGAACTATTTATATTATTTTTTCTTTTAGGGTAACTAAGAATGAAAACAGAAGAAAGTGAACCACTATGGAGAAAAGTCTGGGAGAAACTGGAATATGTGCTCATAAGTTCTTTGGCCTACCATCTCTAGGAAGGAGTGAACTGGGATAACTGAATGGTCTTGGGATAAGTGGAAATAATCATAAACATTCAGTGGGTTAAAAGTTGGGAGGTTAGAATAGAAACAGTAGAAACAGTAAAGAAAAACATGGTGATTTTTTTCTCTAATAAATACTAGTTCTGTTATGTATGTTTTCATTTAAACAGGAAAGGAAAAAAGCAAAGAGAACGAGACTGGGAATGGTTTGGGATATTAAAATACAACCTCATTTCAAAAGAGTTTTTAAGTAATCAGGTCTAGTCTATGATTTTGGGAATCAAAGAGTTTAGTAAGATCAAGCCTCAAACTTTATTCTCCCCACTTTGGTACTAGGGACCAAATCCAAGGCTTTATTTCTATTAGACAAGCACTCTACCACTGAACTATATTTCTAGCCTAAGCTTCAAACATTTAATGAAGAAAAACAAGACAACCACAAATGTATCTGATACTGAGTTTTGTCTTTTCTTTCACATGAATTCTTAGTTAATCTGCCTAACAACCTATAAAATGGGTGATGGTCTTCATTCTACAGAATATAATACTATGACTTTAGAAAGATTAAGCAATTTATTCTACCATCATTCAATTAGCAAGTAGCAAATTACTCCAAAGTGTATTATGCTATAAAGATTCTACACAGTGGTTATCAAATAAAGGATATATCATAATCATGAGGGATGCTTTTAAACACAAGTTCCAAAGCCTCACCCAAATATTCACAATCATTTTTAGGAAAGCAATGTTCATTATGTCTATATTCTGATAACATTATTCTATTCTCCCAAACCAGAATGTCAGTACCTTTGACAAAAATGTTTTTTTAACTTCAGCAGTGATTCACGAATCTCTCTCACAGACTTAAGTGTAAATGGTCCCAAACTGTATTTATATATGGAGAGTAACTGTAATTCTGAATTTGCTCTTTCTACTATCCCATTTTTTTTCTAAAGGTAGCACAGCATTCAAAAGTTGTACTCTCAGATTTACTGAGGCAGGTGGCAATAGGCCAAATTAGGAGGCCTGAATTCTTTATCTACAAACCAATAATTCTTTGGCAAGATCCACAGATATAGCTGCTTCATAAATAAAAACTGGCTTTAAACAAATTACATCTGGTCCAGATTAAAATACTTAATTTCTCTTTAGCATGTGCTCTTAATGTTAACACTTTTTGAAGTTACTACAAAAACAATGAACTTACTTTTCCAGAAACCAGAGCTATTACCTTCTTCAAATTTGTTATTTGAAAAACCTAAACACAATATAAAATGAAACTTGCAAACTTTTGAAAGCAATTTCCTATACTTCTATGCTTTAAAAATATCACCTTTGCAGAGACGAGTTATGGTACCCCTTTAAACTAAGATAAACTATATACAACTAACTATACATATAGATATTGAATGAGAATTCATTCAGGCTGTACTAAGATTTTTGCCTAGTGTCAAGTTTATCAGATCCATTATCTTAAGGTCAAAAACATCTTTTTTTTTTTTTAAAAGCCAATTTTATGTTTCACCAAATGTCCTATATTCCTCAGTGTGTACGTGGCAAGACAAGGGTAACAATATAACAACTATAAGCTTTCTTTTCAAAATACAAAAAAATTTAAATTTTACAAATTAACTCACAATTTCTTCATCTACCAAAACACAACTAAATTATAATCCAATGCATGATAATTTTTCCCTTCTCAGTAACATGGAAATCCTGTTAATTTTTCTAGTTTACAATTTAACAACAACAACGTCTTTCATCAAGATCTGCTTTCAAATTTGTCATTTCATAAACACCTATGTCTAAGATTTATACATCTCTGGAGCATAAAAGACTGTCTTTAAAATTAATTTAAGGAAAATTCATCCATAATCTTCCATAAAACTAAAAAATGTTGAATCTTAATAAAATTACCTTTAATGCAAAGATACTCAGGGAGTCAGGCATGATGGTTCAGGCCTACAGTCTCAGCTACTTGAGAGGCTAAGGCTATAATAGGCTGATCACTGGAGCCTATGAGATTGAGACCAGCCTGGGCAACATACCATAACCCCCATTCTCAAAAAAAGTAAAAAAAAAAAAAAAAGAAAAAAAGATACATACCTTTAAAATTAAATGTCAATATGGAATGCCTGCCAATTGGTATGTAAATGAAAAAATACTTAAGTATGTTACATTTGGGCTTCCATTAATACAAGGACTAACTAATTACTATTTAGATAGCTACCCAACTTACACACAAAAGTGTGTGTGTGTGTGTAGCCACTTAACATCTCTCTTTTATGATGATGATGATGATGATGATGATGATGATGATGATGTTGTTGTTGTTGTAATTTGACACAATACTTTTATTTCACTTACTTATTTTTATCTGGTACTGAGGATCAAACCCAGGGTCTCACACGTTGAGGCAAGCACTCTACTGCTGAGTCACAATCCCAGCCCCTCACTTAACATCTCTTAACATTACTAAACAGAATCTAAGGTCCATTCCAGCAAGAAAATTCCATAAAAATTTAATACAAAGCTAGTATATAAAAAACCAGGTACCCTATAACCTTGTTATATGATTGAATAACAGAAGAATTTTTCCTGGAACAGATATATTATCTTAAAATATATAAAGATAATCTCTAGAGAAAGAATATAGTTCCACAAAATCTAATTTGAATTATTTCATTCATCTAAATATTTGCAGTGTTTGAAGATGCTTGAGAAAAGACTATATTCTAAAGCCTTCTACAAGTGCTGCTCCCTCCTCATTCTTCCTCTAAGAAAAGTCAGTGCTAAGTTTCCCAAATCTTGGGAAAGTCTCCCACCTACATATTATTAGATTTGATCATAAATTCTGTCTGAATTATAATTTTTTTAAGTTCTTAATGAAAAAATATAATTTCAAACTACTGGTTACTGGCTCAACTAAAAATGGGTACTCAGAATCGGCTAAGATGGATTTCTTGGTAGAGGATGGCGAGTATTAAAGAACTGGGATTCATGAGTAGGGTGAATCCATCTGAAGAGAAGTTGCAACAAGGAACATGGCTGTTTGGGGGAGCAGGAAACAGTTAAAAAAAATGCATAAACATCCAAAGCAGCACAAACTGCTATTTTAAACTACAACTAGAAAAGTAAAAGCACTCACTTCCTTGTGATCCTCATAAATTCTTGAAAAAGACAAATACTTTCTATGTATATTAGAGGGAATTATGAACCAAAAAACTGAAAATTTTGAGATTAACTCAAGTTTTTATTATTAAGGTATCAGAAGCAAATACCTACCTCTGTTTCCAAAACCTTTTCCAACTCCAAAACTGCCCACTGTGGGTGTATTCTCTCTTTTATTAGACTCGCCAGCATCTGTTTAACATAGAATTAAACACATCAGTGTTGGCATATGCCTGTAATCCCAGTAACTCAGTAGACTGAAGCAGGAGGGTAAACACGGTCAAAGCCAGCCTCAGTAACTTAGTGAGACCCTAAGCAAATCAGCAAGAGCCTGTCATTGATGTGGCTGGTGATGTGGCTCAGTAGTTACCCCTTTAAACTAAGAAAAACCATATACAACTAACTATACATACAGATATTGAATGAGAATTCATTCAGGCTGTACTAAGATTTTTGCCTTGTGTCAAGTTTATCAGCTGCACCCAGAAAAAACAAAAAATAAAAAATGGGGATAAAATAAATCTTTGGGGTAAAAGGATTTTTCAAGGACAGGAAAAGAACAGTATAAGAACTTAAAATTAATTGCAGCTTTTTAAAAAAATAACAAAACCAATATACAAACATAAATCTACTGCTAGTGAAATACAGGTTTTCTACTATTTGTTATTTTACTGGAGTCCTTTAACCAGAAAACAAACTTCATGATTTTGTATATGCTGAATGTTCACCTTGACAGACCTTGTTGTTATACTCTGTCCCTGTGAGAGTTATTGCTATTGAAAACTTTTTACTCTTATTCTGATTTTTAACTGCTCTATTTATTAATAATAATATTAATACTAGTAAAATTAAAATTAGGGACTAAAGAAAAGCAGCTTTCAAATACAACTCAACTTCACATCTTCTTGTGTCTTACTACTATTTGCCTGTATTAACATTTGTAGCTTTATTTCCCACTACATAATTCTGAACAACCAACATTTTAAATCACACCAAATAAGTTCTCCTACTTCACACGGTGAACTTCTAGTATTGTGTACTTTCATACATGCTATGAATAGTATTTGGAATACTATTTTTTTACTATTCTTTTGGAATAGTATTCCTTGCTTTCCTAGTTTTCCTACTAGAATTCTTTTCATCCTTCAGAAGATAAATTTTTCTGTAAAGCCCTTCAGCACTCCAGTCATAATCCTTCCTCCACATTCCCAATAACAAACTATCTGTACCTCTTTTTAGTAATACTTCTTTTCACATATTTCTGTACCACTAAATTATAAAAATCTTGGCCAGGCACCATGGCATACACATGTAGTTCCAGCTACTCAGGAGACTAAGGCAGGAGAATCACTTGAGCCCAGCAATTTAAGACCAGTCTTAGTAATATAGTAAGACCCCATCTCAAAAACAACAGCTACTTAAGGGCAGAAATGCAATGTCAAGGAGCATAGAAGATAAAAAAAAACTGAGAAAGAAAAAGAGGAAGGAAAGAAGAACCACTAGAAACTTTCAAAACAACATAACTGACATTCTAAAATATCACCGGGAAAATTTTATCTATTCCCTGAGATTCTTATAAATTACTGTACCTATCTCTATAATACTCTATGAAATTCCTAAAATCAGTGCAAACTTGTATATGTCCGACTGAGTATTTTCATCAGATCTTAAAGATGTATGTGATTCAAGAATTTAAAGCTGCTTAGCCATACTCCACAGAACATGAAAAGTGAATGTTAGGTAATTAAGACAATTTTGAAAAACACTTTACTAAATGTACAACTTATACTCAGAAAAATTACCAGAGATTGAAGCAATATGTCAGACAAATTATAAGGAAAAGAAGTAATACTCGTGGGTCTAGGAATTTCTGATTGTATATATAGTATAAAAATAACTTTTTAAAGTACTGACATTCAGAAGAATTCTCATCAGGATTTAATGTGTATTTCAACTTTAAATATATAAAAATGATTTGTGATAAAATCTAAGTGGTGGTTTTGTCATTGAAAAGGGATCTATTCAACAACAGAAGTCTACATCAAAAAGTATCACATAAGCTAAATTTTAAAATTATAATTTTTGAAGAGCTTATCTAAATATATTAACATTAAAATATTAAATATTAAAATATTCTTAAGTATACCATTAAGGTATTTATTATTTTTATTGTTAGTAATAGTTAACAAAGCCCACATCTGAACCTCTTGCGACAATTACATGATCCAAATCAGCATACCTTGACATGTAAGCTTTAAAAGCAAGATATGTATGCATATTTAAAATATAAATTAAGTCAACTAGAAGGACCATATCCAAATATAAAATTCAAATTTGTGTTCATTGTATCTAAATAGAAACTATGTTTTCCAAATGTCAAATGAAATAACACATATTAACTTTAAGATTCCAATGATGAAAAAGGAATTGGAAATATAATAAAATCTTTCAAAGATAAATTTAAGGAGAAGTATTATGCATGTTTAAAAGTACTAAATAGCCCTAGCTATGGAATCCCCTAAAATAAATAATTTTCTTTTTTTTTTTTTTTTGGGGTATCAGAAATTAAACACAGTGGTCCTCTACCACTGAGCTACATCCCCAACCCTTTTTTTATTTTGAGACAGGGTCTTGCTAAGTTGCCCAGACTGGCCTCAATCTTGCAATCCTCCTACCTCAGTCTCCCAAGTCATTAAGATTACAGGAATTAGCTACCATGCCAAGAAAGTCATACAGATTTTTGAGTTTCTAATTATGTTATTGCACTATAAAAAATGATTTAGAACATTTTCAGCATTTTACTATGAAGTTTTAAAAAACAGATTATAGGAAGGTATCTCACTGTGTTACCAGCTGTCAAATAAAATGTTGGCAATTCTAAAAGTAAAATTTAAGAACCCAAGCTTGGTAAAATAACCTCATAAACCTAATACTAATGAACTAATAGAAATGTTTCCCATAATGCCTTTTCTTAAGAAATACAAAACTCACGCCTGTAATCCCAGCTCAGGAGGCTGAGGCAGGAGGATGGCAAGTGCAACCACCCTCAGTAACTTAGCAAGGCCCTGAGCAAACTAGTGAGACCCTGTCTCAAAATTAAAAAGGTGGTTAAGCACCCCTGGGTTCAATCCCTGGTACAAAAAAATAAATAAATATATATAGATGATATATATCAAGAAAGAGTCCTCCTCATCTGGATCTGTAAAGCTTTTTACATTCCTCCCATGTTAATTATAAGAATTATAAGAAATCAATAATCATAAATTAAGAGACAGCTATGTGGAGCATCTGCCCAACCAATCTGTTAACTAATCTATCTGTCCAATCAATTTAATTATGTCCTACTACCCCCCAAAGAAATAAAACAGCAAAAAGAATATTTACATTTCAAAAAATGATGAACTCATTATCCCAACAAAAACTACTATACATGGAGTTATAAAATACTTAGCTTTGCACCAAACAGCTATGAAAGCCATTCCATTATCCAAAAGTCCAGGAGATTAAAGAAAAACAAAGATCTTACCTCTGTTTCCCAAACTCCTCCCTGAGGCAAATCCACTTCTCATGAAATGATCTCTTCGAGAAGGTCCATCATCCATTTCTAAAGCAAATGACATTTTGAAAGAAGTCAAACAATAAGTATCCAAGTAGTATGCAAACTGTAAGTCTCTTCAATGTGCCACATGTAGCAAAAGAGGAATTTTATATAGCAATAAGAAAGATGATGAAGAGTCTAGAAGAAAAATGGGCTAAAAATATGAATAGGTAACTCTCCAAAAGAACAAAAAATGGTGACTAAATTTCACTCATAATTCAAAACTGAAAATCAGAAGGAGGAGATAGCAATTTTCAACCACAGGACTGTTTTTGAATTTGCTAATACCCAGTGCTTTTAAATTTGCTAATATAACCAGAATATTCAAGGACACACGTGATACAAATATAAATCACACACTATACTTAGACTGTAAACTGAACCAATCAATCTTGACTCTAAATTAAAAAGTATACACTTTTCTAAAGTACATTAATGTGAAGTAACAGAGACAGATACAAAGGGAGTTTTTGCTTGGTTTGAGTTGGTTTGGTACTAGGGATTGAACTGAAGGGTGCTTAACCTCTGAGTCACATCCTCAGCCCATTTTTTATTTTGAAACATGATCTCGCTAAGATGTTTAGGGCCTCAATAAGTTGCTGAGGCTGGCTTTGAACTTGTGATCCTCCTGCCTCAGCACCCCAAGTAGTTGAGGTTACAGATGTGTACCACCACACCTGGCTAAAGATGTTTTTTATAAGCACAGATAATAGCAAAATTGAAAGAAATTAGTCATCCATAGAATGCTATGCACATTAGTTTCATAGAAATATGTAGCACTCAACATTACAGAACTTTCTTCCACAACAGAATGTTTATTTAAAAACCTAGGGCGGGGCGAAGCGGTGCATGCCTATACTCCCAGCTGCTCAGGAGGCTGAGGCACGAGGATTAGGAGTTTAAAGCCAGCCTCAGCAATGTTGAGGGGCTAAGGAACTCAGTGAGACCCTGTGTCTAAATAAAATTCAAATAGGGCTGGAGATGTGGCTCAGTGGTTATGTGTCCCTGAGTTCAATCTCCAGTACCAAAATATAATAATTAAATAAATAAATTTTTAAAAACCTGCTACGCGGGCCACAAACATAACAAATTTCAAAAATTAATACCATATACACAAAAGGCTTAGAATCCCTTTATATCTGAAATTTTTTTTCTTCTTTTTTTTTGGGGGGGGGGGGGGGGTGGGTGGGTACCAGGGATTGCACCCAACACTGAGCCACATCCCCAGCCCTTTTTTATGTTTTATTTAGAGACAAGTCTCACTCAGTTTCTTAGGGCCCCGGCTAAATTGCTGAGGCTGGCTTCGATCTCTCAATCCTCCTGCCTCATCCTCCCAAGTGACTGGGATTACAGGCATGCACCACCATGCCTGGCTGAAATTTTTTCTTTTTTAATGTAACAGTGTTTCTTTAATTTAAGGTATTCTGATGAAGAAAATTAGTTTGATAATAGCAACACTAACAGAAGTGACATTTGTGCAACAGTAGAGTGTTGTAATGTACATCATTATGTCTTGGAAATCTAATTCCTAACATACAATCAAATAAACCAAACTGATCACCATGCTTCATTCATTTCCTTCAACCATTCGGTAAAATCTATTGTCTGACAAGAGAACCAGTTTACTCTATAAATCAATCATAACAGAAAAAAATTCATAAATATTGTAACATTTTTTAAGCACTTCAACAGAATTCATAACTCAAAGAAATATATCACAATGGAAGTTTAAAACACTTAGAATCACCAAGTGTGGTAGCACACATAATTCCAACTACTTGGGAGGCTGAGGCAGAAGGATCATAAGTTTGAGACCACCCTCGGAACTCAAAGACACTCTCAAAATAAAAAACAAAAAGGACTGGGGATATAGCTCAGTGGTAAATTGCTTGACTAGCATGTGCAAGATTCTGGGTTCAATCCCAGAACCAAAGAAAAAAAAAAAAAAAAAAAAGTTTCCAAAAATTAACTCACCAAAACTAACTTAAGAAATAATGCAAACACACATACACACACGGTTATCCTATGGAAATTCAATCAGACTTTAAATTTCTACATCAAGCCCAGAGAGTGTTTTACAGGAGAGTTCTATAAACTGGCAAAAAGCTAATCAATCCAATATCATACACATCTTCTAGAAAATATACTATTCACCAATTCATTTCACAAGGCTAGAATAACTCTGATATGACAAAACAGAAAAAAATTGTAAGCCCCCATTACTAACAGATACAAAATTTCAATATATTAGCTAACCAGACCCCACAGTAAATTGAAAGAATAAAATATTACTAGAGGGCTGGGGCTGTAGCTCCGTTGGTAGAGTACTTGCCTTAGCACGAGTGAGGCTCTGGGTTCAATCCTCAGCACCACATAAAAATAAATAAAGGTACTGTGTCCATCTACATCTAAAAAAAAACACTTTAATATCATGAGACAGTTTGTTTTATCCCGTTATATAAGGGTATTTTAATATTAAATACCCTTTTTTTAAATTTTTAGTTGTAGATAAACATAATTATAGGATTGAATCCAGTGCCTCACACATGCTAGGTAAGAGTTCTACCACTGAACTACCAGCCCTAAAATACCTTTTTTAAAAGGTAATTTATAACAGATTAAAAATAAATATTTAATTATCATAAAATATATAACACATTTTAAACCCTCAACAGCCAAATGTAGCTTGTAGCTATCATACTGAACATTGCAAATGGATGATATTTCCATAATTTCAGAGAAATATAATAGCCAGGTGTGGTGGTGCACTCCTATAATCCCAGAAGCTCAGGAGGCCGAGACAGGAAGATCTCAAGTTCAAAGCCAGCCTCCCCAACTTGGTGAGACACCTAAGCAACTTAGCAAGATTTAAAAATAAGAAATAAAAAGGACTAGCAATATGGCACAATGGTTAAGTGCCCCTGGGTTTGATCCCTGATTTAAAGAAAAAAAAAAAACACCAAACCTAGTAGTCCCCAACTTGTGAAACAAAAACACCAACAGAAAAGGTGATAAGGTGTTCTCACTCATGTTTCCATCTTCAATCAATGTGTGAAAGCAGACTTCAGCACAACAGTACTCAATACATAAGAAAGTAACTCAGGTGTAAGAGATGACAACTCAGCTGGGCACAGTGATGCATTCCTGTAATCCCAGCTAATTAGGAAGCTGAGTCAGGAAGATGGCAAGCTCAAGGTCAGACTGGGCAAGATTCTCTCTCAAAATAAAAAGTGACTTGGGGGACGGGGGTTGTAGTTCAGTGGTAGAGCACTTGTCTCACATGTGTGAGACACTGAGTTGGATCCTCAACACCACATAAAAATAATAAAATGAAGGTATTGTGTCCATCTACAACTAAAAACTAAATTTAAAAAATTTACTTGGGATGTAGTTCAGTGGTAGAGCTCTTGCCTAGCATGTGTAAGACCCTGGGCTCAACCCTAGCACTTGGTGGGGGGGGAGGGGTAGAAGAGACAAATCAATAGTTGTTTTAGAATCAATAAACAGATTTTAAAAAAATTCCCTATACTCACAAACTGAAATTTCTGTATATGCATCTCAAAATTTCTCCTACCTTCTGGCGTTTATATCACTTAGCTATTACTGACTTTTTTCTCCCTCATTTCCTATAATTTTATATATCTGACTGATTTTGCACTTAGGAGCCACATAATGTATGCCCATCTATATTCTCCCAACTTCTCAACAAAAATGCAATTTGGCCAAAATTAATATTATCACAGAAAATAAGTATGTAGAGAGAGATATTTCATAACAGCATAGAATTTTGTTTTCTGAGATGTCACTCATCTAAGCAGATTGAATTAAACTTTCACTATCTTGCACAATGTCTTTAAGAAAGGTCACTTAGTGTAAAGACTTTCTAAACAATGTAGCTGCTAAACAAAAATGCCTAGAACAAAAAACCTTAACTGTATTTGGCATTTTTTGAAGAAATAATGATAGGATTACATTCTTGACAATCTGCTTTGATAAACTGTTACATGATAGACGTGTCTGAAAATGTTTATTATGTATACATAGGAAAGATACTAAAAGCTCTAGAGATGTTTTAAAAGTAGGCATATACAAAGGGTCAGGACTCAGAATATCAAACTTAACACCATCACTAGAATTTCACACAATAAGATTCAAAATTATTTCCAAGCTAAGAATCTTCCCTTATACTATCAATGAAGCCTGAAGGTTAAGACATTTTCAATTTCCTCTCTCTGAAAGCTGAAGAAAAATTAATTCAGGCAAAGTGAGGGGGGTGGAGGGTTCAAGGCAGAAGAAACATACGATCCAGAGAAAATGGAATGGGAGAAAGCTAGAGAAAGGCCAGTCTATACTAAAACAGCTGGATGGAGTATTCAAATCCTTTTCCAATTAAAAAAGGAAATTGATAGATCACATTATATGTTATAAACTAAATGGATATTTGTTTGTGCTTCTGGTAGAGAGGTTGGAAATGAACTAGCAATAGGAACACAGAATTTCAAGCTAACGAAACAAGAGTTAACTAGCAAAAAAACAGAGGGTTGATAAAAGAAATGAAACCATATTATGGGGTTCAAAAGTGAATGACATATACATACCTATAAAGTAGTAACTTTATAAAAGAACTACTATATAAAAGTAACTTCATGGCCTATAAGCTCTGACATTTTAAAACCAGATAATGAACTTTTTTCACTTAATTTTGGAAAGAATTAGATCATAATAGTTGCTTAGAAAGTTTTCTGTGACTATCATTAAGTAAAAGATGTGGTATAATAAGATTCCATTTCTATGAAATACGTAGAGAAATATTTTCAAGTACAATTCTAAGAACATAAGAAGGGCACGGAATGCAAGGGCAGGTAGGCAAAGGAAAAACAAGATAAATATTTATAATAAAAAGAAGTATGTGTAAAGCCAGTGGAATACAATTATCTCTGCGGGATATATAGAGAGATCTAAAAAGAAAAAATCAAAAGACTGTCAACAGTGGCTAAATCTACAAATGAAAATCAGGATTTCAGATAATTTTGTTTCTTATTTTTTTGGGGGAAATAAACATATTGAACTATCAGTTTAGTATACATTCATTTGCCTCATATATTCTTTAATAAGAAAACGTAATTGATTTTGTTTCATTAGTCTAAATATTCACAGAACTAAGCAAAAGCTCAGCTTTTAGTTGGTGGTTATTTCAATCTAGCTTTCTGAAAATATTAACTCAAATACATAGAGACTCACAGCAAACACATAGTAATTCAATTCACAAAAAATACAATGGTGGGGCTGAGATTATAGTTCAGCAGGTAGAGCACTTGCCTAGCACATGTCAGGCACTAGGTTTGATCCTCAGAACCACATAAAAATAAATAAATAAAATAACGGTATTGTGTCCATCTACAATGAAAAAAATATTTTTAAAGTAAAATGGTGGTTTCAAGTTATTGTTTAATGGGTATAGAATTTCAGTTTGGGAAGATGAAAAAGTTCTGGAGGTAGATGAAGGGTGGTAGTTACACAGCAACGTGAATATACTTAATGTCACTGAACCATACACTTAAAAAAGATCAAAATTGCAATAACCACAATAAAAAATTTTTTCAATACAATAGCAATCCATTTCAGCCTGCTTTGAACTTCGATAAAGCAAAAGACTACTGTCATGAGTTTAACTTCCTAGACTAAGCCCTCCCACTTAAACCCATCTTCCCATCCACATCAACTCTATATTAGAGAGAGTATGTGTGTTGGACAATCAAGGTGAATGCATCAGTGTGAGGGAGCAGCCCAGGTGGAAACAAGTTCAGAGAAGGTAATTGAGAGCAGCAGGAAGGATAGGGCTCCTTTATCTTGACATTCATTTCTCTTCTTAGGACTTATCCGAAATTAGTTTTCTGATCTCAAAGAAACTCATATCTTAATGGCATGACATGTGTGGCTTGAATAGTTCTTAGCCTGGCCATTCACCACCATTGGAATCTGCTTCAAAAACTTTACATATAATATACAACATCATACTTCCTTATGTCAGGAATCCTGACAATGCTCTAGCAACCTAGAAGCCAAACATGAAATTTCCGGGTTGAACAAAGGTTTACAGTAATCCACTAACTATACTAACACTACACTTTCCCTTCTCTCCCTTACTCTAGCTAGAAGTGCCCCCAACCCAAGGTATCCAAATTATAATGAATTCTCAATAGGAAATTTTAAAAACATCCCCTTATCAGGGGGATGGGTTGTAGCGCAGTGGGAGAGCACTTGCCTAGCTAGGACGCATGAGGCACTAGTTTGATCCTCAATACCATATAAACAACTAACAATTTATTTTTAAAAATATGCTGGGCTGGGGTTGTGGGTCAGCGGTAGAGCGCTCGCCTCGCACGTGCGAGACCCTGGGTTTGATCCTCAGCATCACATACAAAGATAAACAAGTGAAATAAAGGTGTTGTGTCCAACTACAACTAAAAAGTAAATATTAGAAAAAAATTTTTAACTATGTCTATCAGTCTGCTCCTTATTCACTAGATGAAATTCTTAAAGAGTTTTGCCTTTTTTTCCTTAACACATACCTGATGATGAAGCTGAAGTCCTGTTAAAAGTGTCTCCATTTGCTCCAGAAGAATATTTATCCTGTAAGAGGAAAGACCAGTTTTTCACTTTGCATATTAAGAATGTCATCTATTTCACAAATAGAAAATTAGAATAGTAACCCCTTTTCCAGTAGAATGCATTCTAAGACTTCTAGTGGATGCGTGAAACAATGGATATCAAACCACTGATTCATACAGACACACTATATTTTTTCCTACACAAACATACCTGTGATAAAGTTTAATTTATAAATTGGGCACAATAAGATATTAACAAAATAAGAATAATTATAATTATGTAATAAAATTATATAATATGGTCTCTCAAAATATCTTATTGGGCTGTACTCACTCTTCTTATGATGTGAAATGATACAATGCTTAGGTAATAAGAGGAAGTAAAGTGAGCAACATAGGCATTGTGATGTAACATTAGGCTACTACATTGACATTGTCAGAAGGCTATTAGTGGCTTAACACTTTCAACAATAAAGAAATTTATTTTTAAAAGTTCCACTGTGTTTATATAAAATGAAATCGTTAATATATCCAAATTTTTCAAATGGAAATCACTCTAAGAAAATTCACTTATGCACAGAAAAGAACTTGTCTTTATATGCAAGTACCTCCAATTCCTCTCCTTTTCCCTTTCCTTCTCTGAATTCAACTTCTACTACTCTTGTCTTATTTCATTGTGCTTTAGTCATATTGGCTGTAATAAATTGTATAATGGTCATTAACAAATAATCCTAATTCCTGGACTTTGTAAGTGTTACTTATTTGAAAAAGGGTCATGACAGATGTGATTAAGGATTTTGAAATGAAGAGATTACACTGTTTTATCTGAGTGGGTCCTTTGAAAGGGGTAAAGGGAGATAATACAAATACACAGAGGAAATGGCCATGTGAACACAGCTAAGAAATGCAACTACAAGCCAATGTCCTCTTACAGCCACCAGATGATAGAAGAGAAAAAGATTTTCTCCAAGAGTTTCAAGATGGAAGGTAGACCTTCTCAAACCTTGATTTCTAACTTCTGACTTCTGGAACAATATGAGAATAAATTTCTATTGTTTTAAATTACCCAATTAGGGGTAATTGCTGCCACAGATACATGAACTCAACACATTCACATTTTTCTTGGTATCCAAATATGCTAAGTTTCCTTCCTCTGACTCAGAAGCTTGGTAAATGATGGCTTTTGGGGACTGTTTCAGATCTCCCACTCATGAGTCAAGGAAGCCTTCCCTCTCTCCACTTGAACCAACCCCCCCTCCACACACACACTCAAAATCCTTATTTTTTCCATAGCTTTTTTTTAAAAAAAAATTTTTTTTTAGTTGTAGTTGGACAGAATGCCTTTACTTTTTTATTTTTATGTGGTGCTGAGGATCGAATCCAGTCCCTTGCACATGCTAGATGAGTGCTCTAACGCTTACCTCTGAGCCACAACCCCAGACCCATCCATAGCACTTTTTAATCATTCATAATTATCTGGTTTACAAATGTGCTTATTCTATCTCCCCAAATAAAATACAAGTCTTTGACAGCAAGTATTTCATCATGTTCAACACTACCTTCAGCATACAGAATTCAATAAATATATGTTGAATGATCAGAAGGCTTGTCGGTTTACTTTTAGGACACCTAGCTATAAATCATTTGTAACCTCTTAAATCACCCAAGTGAACCAATTTAGAAACTTCAAGCCAGGAATAGCGGTGTATACCCTTAATTCCAGCTACTTGGGAGACTGAGACAGAAGGATCACAGATTCAAGTTCAGCCTGAGAAATGTAGCAAGACCCTGTCACAAAACAAAACTTAGTGAAGAGGCGGAGATGTAGCTTAGTGGGAGACCACTTGCCTAACATGTGCTAGAACCTGGGTTCAATCCCCAGTACTGAAATAAAAAATTTAAATTTCAAAATGTTTTAACACATAAGAACTCCCCTATGCAGCTACAAAATATCCTATTTTGGTGAACACATTTCTTTTCACCTGTACCCTTTTCAATTCTGGAATGTCATATGCAAGCTCCTTTTCTAAATTATTACTAACTTTGCTACTGCTACTTAACACAATTACCACTGTGGAGCAATTATCTCACACTGTTTCCACTTTTTTTTTTTTTTAATATTTATTTATTTATTTTTAGTTTTCGGCGGACACAACATCTTTTTTTTTTTTTTATGTGGTGCTGAGGATCGAACCCGGGCCGCACGCATGCCAGGCAAGCACGCTACCGCTTGAGCCACATCCCCAGCCCTGTTTCCACTTTAATCACAAAAGTTTTTATCTTCTGAAATGTACCACAAAAATGGAAATTTATTCAATATAGTAATGATCACTACATTTAATCATCTGGTCACCTAACAAAAAACACTAACAGCTAATAATAAGTAAGCAAACTAAATATCTAATACACTCACCATATCCATACATTCTAACACTCATCCCAATAAGCCTGCATACTATGTACAAATGTCAACCACTGAGATTTCTGGAATTTATAACTGCTAAGTTACCAAATTTTTTATAACTCATATCTTTCATTTTTCTATTCCCCCAGGTTGTGTACTCACTTCAAAATCAAGATTTTGGAGTTTGGAGTTTTTCTGTGAGAGAAAGAGGACAGGTACTGGAGACTGAATCCAGAGGCACTCTACCATGGAGTTACGTCCCCAACTTTTCTTATTTTGAAACAGGGTCTCACTAAGTTCCCCAGGCTGGCCTCAAACTTGCACTCCTCCTGCCTCAACTTAAGGAATCTCTGGTATTACAAGGTGTGTGCCACCATGTCTTTCTAAGTGCTACCAGAACAGTGCCCTATTACTGCAAAATTATACAAGCATTTATGAACATATCTCGAAAAAAAAAAAGCTCCTGCAAAGCACTCATAAAAGTCTGATGATAAATATCGCTTAAATTGATATTAATCCAATGCTATTTTTTAAAAGCCACTATAAATTTAAAAGGAAAGCACCACCTAGTTTTGAGATGAAAACTTATTTAGAATGACCAATCAAAGGGGTGCCTTAGGGCTGGGATATGGCTCGCTCAGCCATAAAGCACTGGTCTAGCATGTGTGAGGCCCTGGGTTCAATTCTCAGCACCACATATAAATAAAATAAAGGTATAGTGTCCATCTACAACTAAAAAGTATTTTTTTAAAAAATTGGTGCCTTAAATAAAAAAATGGCAGGGAATAAAAGACCTCCAAATTTTCCTCCATAAAAATGTCATTTATACATCCTTATTCTCTGCACTTAATCAAACAAGAAAGGAAAACAAAGCTACTGACTGCATCATGTTCAAGTTAACTAGGAAGTTACTAATTGCACAACCAGCACCAGGTGTCAAGTTTGCAGACAAATGTAAAAAGTTTACTATAAATTGGCACCATACAGATGTATTAAGAACTGTAAGGTGAAATTATCAACATAAATTCACATTCTATTTAGTATTCCAAATGTCATGATACAAGGTATGTTACGAATACTACAATGACTCCAAAAAGGTGAACTTGCAAGATGTAATAGCTAATCCTCAATTTCTGAAACTTGATACAACAAATATGCACAACATACTGCAGTGCACTGTGCTGTTTGAAGAGCGCTCCATTTAGACAAACATCTCAAACTCAAAAAAATAAAACTAGACTGATGAAAAAGAGCCTATCTGTATATTAAACTTTGTATTATAGCAAATCTATTAAGAAAAAGGGGGTGAAAAGGGAGCCATAAAATATCCTCTGACCAAATAATTCCTTTTTTTTGGAGGAGGGGATTTATTGGGGATTGAACTCAGGGGCACTCAACCACTGAACCACATCCCCAGTCCTATTTTGTATTTTATTTAGAGAAAGGATCTGACTGAGTTGCTTAGTGCTTTGCTTTTGCTGAAGCTGGGTTTGAACTCGTAATCCCCCTGCCTTAGCCTCCCAAGCCACTAGGATTACAGGGGTGCATCACCACACCCAACAAGTAATTCTATTTTTGAGAAAAAAAAATTCCCAAATTAAATAAGTTGTAGGTACTTATGACAATGTCAAAGTAAAAAACTAACACCATCTTAAATTCCCACAACAAAAATCATTCATATTATGACAGATCCTTTCCATAGGTCTTATGTATGCATAAGAAATTATTTGTAGGAAATTAGTAATATGGAATAATCTGTAAAGAGTGAAAAAAACAAAAGCTGGATTCAAAAATTACTGTGATAGGACTGGGATGTAGCTCAATGGTACCAAGTTTGCCCAGTATGCATCAGGCCCTGGGTTCAATTTCAGTACTTAAAAAAAATTGTTATATACTCTAATAAAAACATATTTTGGAAGACAGAGGGAAGCTTTTCATAGGAGTAACTATGCTAGAGAGCGACATTTTTAGGTGATTTTTCTCCTTTTTTCACAAAATGTGGTTATGCTTTTATGATGAAAGACGACTATAAGAAGATAACAAAAAGATGTTATTTCTAAAATAACTTCCAAGATAAGAAACATGACAAAATCAGATTAATATTTTGGGTATTGCTATTCAAACTCCACATATGAATCAATTCCAGTTAATTTAAAGAACTGCATTTTTTATATAAAACAAGGATTTACACAAAGGCATCACTTAAAATCAGAAAGTATCAAAATTTATTGTCTTACACACAAACAGGAAATTCTGAAGAGAATAAAAACTTTTGGAGATAATGTCAACAAAGTAACACTTCTGCAAAACCAATCCCTTAAACTATATTATCAAGTTTCATTCCACAAATTTTTAAAAAGTCAGAACTGAAACCCAAAAAATCTAACCCAGCGCCACTGCTTCTGAATTACAATGCAATTTCGCAAATGCCAAACAGGAAAAAGATCTGATGATCTGTAATATATTAAACTGATGGCACCATTTGAATCAGCCTAAAATATTTATCTTAGGAGCCTTCCTTGCATAAAACCAATTTTCAGAATTCAAAATATCATCCAGAACCAAACTTTTGCCAATTTTCCATGTAAGTGTCCCTCAGAGACATTCCACCAAATTTGAACAAGCTTGCTTTCACCTGTAAGTCCTAAATCACTGAGATGTAAATAAGTTCTTCATATCACATCTAATTTAGCTTTTAATTGTCACATTATCAGATACATAATTCTACACAGGCATTCTTTTTCATTCCCCATAAAATAGTTTATAACAACCACAGAGATAAACACTGAAATAGTCTATAATTTAAAACTTCCCCACCAGTTTTTCAATTTTGATAAAAATCCATAGCATTTAATAACTGCACACTTTAAATTTTATTACCTTTTCAAATACAGGAACATAGGAAGACACATGAGGTTTGATGATTTCTGCTTCCCAATCTTCATCTCCCATGGTGGCTTCAAGTTCTATTTTTATTTTGTGGGGGGAAAAAGCACTTTGACCTCCATTAGATAAGAACTGTGTCTTTAACAGCATAAACTATCCGTCTGGGGATATAACTCCCTCACAGAGCAAATGAGACCCAGGGTTTGATTCCCGGCACATCCACACCCACCAAAAAAAAAAAAAAAAAAAAAGTATCAACAATCATTGTTTCACATATAGCTATTGGAAATGCTCAACTAAGTGCTAATCTTCCCAAAAGGATTTTGCAAAAAATGGAGAATTGGGTATTGCTTCTTATCTAGTGATTGCATTTATAGCCATCCTTTTTATATTTCAAAGCCAGATGAACCACTTAACTAATCATTCTAGCAATCACCAGGTTGCCGGTGATGCTTAGGCTCTGTCCCAAAAAATGGTTCTCTGTCAAAGTATCCCCGACAAAGAGCTTGTTGGATACTAAGCGGATGGAAATTTTTAAAGATACTACTCAAGATTTCCGCCTTTCTAAGCTTTCTCCTTTCGCTCCCCTCCAAAGGTAGACAGGAAGTCCGATACAGGTTTCTTGTTTGCTTGGGATGGAGAGGTTAGGGAAAGACCTTGGATACTGGAACAGAAAGGTTAGAACTAAATCTCTCCAACACAGGACAACTACTTTCCTCCAGGAATGTCTGTACACAAATAGTCCTATAACAATCTTTGTGAGAGAAAAGGCTGCGTAACCGCTGGGGAAAAGACCCTTCACCTCCTCCGCCGGCCTCAAGCCTCAGGTCACCCACAGGGTTTTAGAATCAAGAGAGGAGAGGGAAAGGCTCCCAAAGAAAGCTTCAAATGCTTGTCCGGCCCATCCCACTCTTCCTTTGGCAAAGGCCCAGCGACGAGAACCCCAGAGGGCCTGGGCCACGGCCAGGCAAGCACCCCAAGGTCAGCTCCACACCCACTCACCTCTCCGCTTCCAGCTCTCTCTGGTCCTCACAGGATCCGTCGCCGCTTAAACGGCTGCACGTGCAGACGCACTCTGCGTCAGGTGCGCAGCTCCAACAACAAATAGCACCAAGCGACGAGCGCCACCAGCCAATCAGCGCTCTGACGGTGGGCAGAGTCCCACCTCTCCCTGAGGCCCGTATGTTCCCTATTTGCTCATGTTTAGGGCTTCAGTGGCAGGAACCTTTGGTACACACTCGTTGAGGATTTCTTTAGGCCTGTGGCTACACTGCTGGCCATGGGTCCCCTGTCTCCACGTTGTGGGTGGGATTCTCAATATTGGAGAGGCTCTAGATTTAACCTGTGCAAGCAAAAGCTGTCCACCTCCATTTTCTCACATAAAAATAAAAGGGGAGTAGAGTAATACCCTCCTTCAAGTCCTTTTAGACTTCTCGCCCCTTTTGCCTCTCACAGTCCCTGGATGTTGGCCTCTCTGGTTCTCAATTTCTGAGGTGATGGCTTCACATCCGGGGAACCAGTGCCTCTGTGTAAGGCTGAGGCCAGTAGAGTGTTGTATCCCTTTTCCTCCCTGTATGAAGGGTGAGGATGAGGCTCCATTCTGGTGGTACCCCAGGGTGTTGTAAAGAAAGCCTATCGTATAAAGTTGGTGGTTCACCTTTGTAAGAAGGAAACAGCCTCTGCTCCAGAAGGAAGGATGGAATTGATGCTGGCGTAGGTCGTTCATCAAGGCCATTTGCAGTCCTCCTTTTTATATCCCTAGGGCCACTGACCAAAACAATGGCCAAGGGTTATTTCAATACTTAATGCTCTCATCAATTAAATATTCTCGTTCTACCTACTTCAAAAAGTAGGAAAAACCCCTCAGTATTTCTCCCATCCCTTCAAGGCACATGACATGAAGTTGTTCAAAAAGCATAGTTATAAATTTAGCTTTTATTTCTGTCACTTTTCTTTCTCTGAATCTTTGAAGAAATTCCTGGATATCTCACTCAGGAACATAAATCCCAATATAGTCTCATACTTAGGCATCAAGGATAAGGTGCTTAGGCTCAGACACAGCTTTAAACTTTCCTCTCTAGAACCACCTATTGTTTCAGCATTAAGAATATGTAAGGATTGGGGCTGGGGTGGTGGCTCAGCGGTAAAGCACTCGCCTCGCACGTGCGAGACCCTGGTGAAACCCTGGGTTCGATCCTCAGCACCACATAAAAAGAAATAAGTGAAATAAAGGTATAAAATATGTAAGGACTTATCTAGTTAGCGCTTAACTATCAGATTATTCACAAGGTGAATTGATCATATTCAACAAAGACCTAGCCAAAATATATTCTAATATAACTGCCATTTAAAACTTGGAGCTGGGCATGATAGAGTATGACTGTAAGCCTGGCTACTCAGAAGCTGTGGCAGGAGTATCACAAGTTCCTGGCCAGCTTGAGCAACTTAGCAAGACCCTATCTCAAAAATAAAAGGGGAAGGGCTGGGGATGTAGCTTAATGGGAAAGCACCCCTGGATTCAATTCCCAGTACTGCAAAAAAAAATTAAAATAAAATAAAACTTGGACAAATGTTCTAAAATGAACATATTATCTAAAACACTTAACAAACATTCTCTGCCTTTTAGAGGGAACAAATTCTTTTCGTTTTCAGGTATCACAACAATTCTTGTTGCTTTCAAGTTCCTTATTTTCATAAATGTGTGAAACCAAGCCCAGATTATTAAAAAGTGTATTACGATGAGAATTGAATTTCAATATTGAGGAAAAGGTAAATAAGTACTGGGTAAAAATAATATAGTTCAAAAGTTTAACAAAAATTTCAAAAGTGAAAAAGAACAAGCATGCTTCAGTAAACATTTGCTCCTTCCTGTATGTCCCAGGAAAATGAAACCAATATATTCTATTTTCAGTTCCCACTGAAGGATCTTAAATTAGTAGTAGTAATACATTGCAACATAAGTAAAACACTAGAATCCATTTCCTTATTAAATGGACTTTAAATGAGTACCTACTGTATGCCAGATATTATTTTGGGTACTTCAAATAAAATTAGCCCATGTTTCAAGGAAGTGGAAAAAAATGAAAAGGATAGTATGCCAGACATTATGTTAGGTACTACAAGTAAAATTATCCTGTTTCAAGGTAGTAAAAAGAATGATAGTGCTAGCCAAACCCATTGGTGCACACTTTTAATCCCAACTACTCAGGAAGTTGAGGCAGGAGGATTGCTAGCCTGGGCAAATAACAGAGACCATATCTCAAAATAAAAATAAAAAGAGCTGGACTTAAGTAACTTAGTGGTAGATCTCCCCTGGGTCCGTTTCCAGTACTGGGGGGAAAAAACTTGTTTTTGTTTTTGTTTTGTTTTGTTTTTAAAGAGATGGGAATGTAGCTCAGTTGTACAGTATTTGCCTAGAATGTGTGAACCCCTGGGTTCAATCCCTAGTACTATTAAAATATAAAAATAAAAAAGAATAACAGTATTAACTGAAATTTAAAACTTTGTTTCCTCCCTCAAAAGTTTCATTAGACAGCTGGCAGGCAGGGAAGGTGAGCCTCCAATCAAATACAGTTTCTCCAAATTCTCCAAGTCCCATATAATTAGGTAGGACAACAGTTTTCTCAAGGCAAAAGCTTATAGTTATGACTCTTCACAATTTAGAAAGAGGCACTAATTTTTCCAAGTTAATATAGATAAAGAAAACTGATACTTTAGTCTTTTTATGTTTTAGTATTATCTCTACGTTGTCTGAATGTTTTCGAAATTGATGTAGACTGTGTCTAGCACCATGTCTAGGCTTATAAAATTTCTTTTTAACAGGTAGGGTTGTGGCTCAGAGGTAGAGTGCTTACCTAACATTCATGAGTCCCTAGAGTCAATTCCCAAACTGAAAAAAAAAAAAATTTTTAATCCACTAGCAGTTCAAAAAAAAGCATTAGCTCAATGGGGGAGAATAGATGCTTATTCTTAGGTGCCATAAATATTTGAAAATCTGCACATGATCATATATTTAAAGATGAAATAAGGGGCTAGGGATGTGACTCAAGTGGTAGCGCGCTCACCTAGCCTGCGTGAGGCACTGGGTTTGAGTCTCAGCACCACATAAAAATAAAATAAAGATATTGTGTTCACCTAAAAATAAAAAATAAAAAATATTTTTTAAAAAATGATGAAATAAAAATATTGTAAGTTGGAGCTACATAATATCAACACAAAATAGAGGTGGAAGGGGATACAATATCTTCAAAATACCATCATGCTACATCAATTTAAATTCAACAGAGACCAGTTTTAATACCAAACCAGGTTTAAAGAGACAATTTTTTTGTATTTTTCTAATAACAGCTAAAGCAATATTTACCAAAGTGTGGTATATATTCCACTTTTAATTTTGATTTAATTTTTTATTTTAGTATGTATTAGAAAACTATAACATACCAAATGGGAGTTCAGAAATACAGTCGTTTAGAATGAAACTAAAGTAAATAAAGTTTTTTAAAATTTCTACTCATTTAAACAAAAACAATATAGTAGTATGCAGGAATGGCAAAATGGGGAGTACTATCATAAAGATAGTATTTGTATTCAAGTGGCTGAATTATGGGAAACACTGGGAAAAACTCAATCTGGGGGCTAGTCAGTAGAGGGGTGTTCTCTATTTCGAGTAAAGGTATTTCATCAGCACCTGTTCTGATTCCATGCTCACTTAGCAACTTCCTGATTAATAATTCAACTTCCCAAGTACTTTGATACTGGGAAAGAAGATGACATGAATAAGACATATCAGCCCTACTTGCTTCCCAACATGAACTCATGTTGAGGTTCTGGTTTTGAAATCAGTATCATTTGAGTTTAGCTAGTGTTCCTGAGAGGTCCTTCTTGTAATCAACCAGCCCTCCTTGATGATAAAGTGCATTCAGTGGCACCCTAAACACTGTTATAGACATATTTAATGAGTGCTTAAATGAGTGAAGGTGAAGGATAAAAACCAAATAATATATCAGAGGACCTTGAACAATCCTTCCTAAGTCTAAACGGTCCTCCTGCCCCTTTGCCATAAAACAATGGTTCAT